ATATTGGCTTACGGTAGCGCTCCAAAATCTACGTTACGCGCGTTGCAAAAGAAGCGGCAAAGTTTAGTTTTTAAGTTCAAGCTTTGTTTGTTTTTGCTTTTAAACTCTTCCATTTGTATCTTTATCATCTATTCTGTTCACATACATTTTTGGACTGCACACTAAACAAATCAAATCAAACCTAGAAAGTTTGCATGAACAATTGGCCTGTTCTTTACTCAAACTCTTTTTCCTTTGAAGAGTGTAAACGTGTGTATTTTCTAGTCTGTTAATTCTGTTATTAGTAACAGTCGCAGATAAAGCGGTAACTTTGAAGCCAGGTGTACAGTGAATTCGCGGCAGAAAGTCCTAAGCAACAAGTGTTTTCTTTTAGTCTCATTGCTTCTGATTCCTTTCTAAGCTACATGCCTAGTGTTCTTATAGTTACACTGGTAGACTATCTGAAGCGATGTCTTTCTCCAGATTTACATTGCTGGCCAGCATTTAGGCAAGGAAACAAGTAATAAAAAATTTTCTGTCTTTCATCAATTAAGAGCTTATTCACTTTGTGAGACTTTTTATGGTAATTATGGCAACTTGCATTGAGCATTAGTTTATCTACAATTATTTGTTGGGAACAGATCAGATTTCATACAAGATCTGTTGAAGTATTAGCCTAAACGAAAAAAAATGGGACAATTTGATTTTTATTACATTTTGAGACTTTTTGTTCCGACAAACAATAAACAGGCTGCAACTTAATCTTCGCTTACATAACCGTCCTTCGCCTATTATTCTGGCAAAGCGTTATCGCTTCTCTCTCACAACGCTTGGCGTGCCGCCTCGAAGAACTCAAAAAAAGTTTTTTGAACATTTCTCAATCTTGCGCAGCTAAACCGTAAAATCACATTGCAATTGACATTCCATTCAAAAAGGGTCTTCATCCTCTTTCCAATCAAATATCGAACATGTAGGACTTCCTTTTGATTTCAGAAAAAAAGCAAAAAAACTTGAAAAATAGCGACTTTTTGCGCAATAGAAAACCAAAAAAAATCATGTCTTAGCCCTATATTTTCCGCAGATAGACGAAATCTGAGGCAAACTGCATATGGGTGGATAGGGCGAAAAAGCTCTATAAGATGGTTTTTGAAAAACATGCGTTCACTTGCAAAAAATAAAGTAACACGTAAGCTCGTTCTCGAAGCTGATGACCATATCTCCTGACTATAAGCGTTGAGGCCAAGTAATCGTAGGTTTGATGACTATCCCATCACCCACTGCAGCAGTGGTACTTTGGATGATCTCACATGTTTCACTGCTTAGATACTACTCGAAATTTATAATTTATCGAAATGATTAACTTTGCGTTTCAGCAAGTACAAAACTTATTAGGTATGTAGATGATCTTATATAGGTATTGTCTGAAAAAGAATAACATATCTAAAGTTCTATTAAAATTAGAAAGTTTGATCATTTCACTTTCTCGAAAAATCTACAGTTATTTTCTGAGTGTCAATTTTACCGTTCACCCTAATACATTTGAAAGACTTTAATTCCGCATTCAGAGGTCATCAGAGGGCAGGTGAGGTGCCTCTAGAAACTGCGTTATTTACCTTTCTAACAAATTTATGGCAAACAAAAACATTGTGACAGGAAGAAACGACTTGTTGAAAAAGACAGAACTTTTGGGCCAACCTAATAAAATATTATCGACTAGGGAGCTCTTACGCTGTTCCCTGAATATGGGAAAAAACGAGGTGATATCGTCAAGTACTTGCATTAAATCCAGAAGAGCGTATCGAGTAGGGTGGGGTTGGGGGTGCGAGAACAGCGCATATATGGTTCCAACTGGTATGCCCGGAGAGGAGACGATTATTGCACTGTTATTGCAATCAGGACTTGTTCCGGAATTCGCGAAGCTTCATCGCAGTTAGAGGTGCCGTATTCCGGAAGATACTGTTCGAAGAACCATTTGCGCATAGGCATGGAGTAGACAGGCAGCGGTTATGCAGATGAAGTACATGTACCACAATCAGCATCTCTTTAATTAGGGCCTTATGCCCCTCCCCTATAAACAACATGATCAGCTGCAGCACATAGACATATTCGATAAGCTAACATTTGTGGGTGGGGAATCTTTTATTGAAGCACAAGAGATGGAGCTGGCGACTCCAAGACGAACCGTCGCCAGATTAATACTTACTATACTGTATCGTATTCAACATACTGTAGCGTTCCGCCTCTGGTCCTAATGCCCTGTTTGTCAAGTGCTTACAGATCGCCACAACAACCTGTAAGCAAAAAGGCGAGGGGAGAGCCAGGATAAACATATGGCTTGCGGAGTGCCAACAATTTGACAAAATCTGGGAGAATTTATTGCTCACCTGCTACCATTACATCCCCCTTTTACTCGAGTTCGTCCTTGGATCAGTAACGTAGAGGATGTTGTATTGCGTCGTCAGCAAAGTGCAACCAGCGAAGAGGTTCCTATGCGTATATTATCGGATGTCTCCAGTCTGTGTGAGTGCATTCTGCAAACAAGCGCGCGAGAAAGCTACGTTGAGCCGTTTTGGACCGAAAACGCTTGGGTTCAATGGATGGCTCCATGCGTGTTCGTTATACAAAAAATCACAAAAGGGTTTTACTGCTCCCTGGACGCTGTCAACAGTGCCTACTGTGGCTCCGGATCCCTAAAAGATATTATTGCAAAGAAACTTTCGGTTCGTTTGAGCACATATAAATTTAACTTTGGTGCAATGCCATTGGTAATGGGCATTTGTGGATAACCTCCGCGGCGCTTGTCTTTACGATATTGCTGTGGGATCCCGTAAGTGATTGCTCAGCTGAGATGACTCGTTGTTGAATGCAACTGTAATTTTGCATTTGGCATAGTTTGAGCTAATAAAATGTGCCGCTGCTCTGGCGGATTTTCGCATACGAAGGTGTTGCTGTACAATCTTCCGAATTAAAATGCATCATCTCGACTTGGGGTCGATAGAGTTACGAAATCGTGCACTGGCATGCCTTATTTACTGGTGACCAAGTCGAGGACGAGCGCACGCTCACATTAACTGTGAGTACCACCTGCGTGCCAAAGTACGGCGGAAGCTGTTTGCTACCTCCTTTACAAGTGGAGCGGGCGTTAGAACCGCGACTTGAGGACCTTGAGTGCAGCTTCTGGGACCACCGCTGATTCGCCCAGAGGATCGTCCATGACTTTCCTAACCTGCACAAGGTACCTGAGAAGACAGAACGCATGGAAACACCTTCGGCTCAAATATCTGCAGAATTTAGCTAATCAGCACCTGGATGTTAGCAGATGTCTGCTTTTTGTGAAGAGGAAGCGCTCATGCTTGATACTCACTATGAATCAATTTGTTTCAGAAAACTTGATCATGCAGTTGTTGTCCAGCTTTGGAAAATTTTCGAACTTCGGACATAAGCTATCGGATAGGAGGTCAGTGTGGATGAAGTTCTTTGAAGTTCTTTAAAGGCAGCGGACAGGCAAAATGGACCCCTGTCAGATTTTGGTAGTTTCGGGTAGTGGACCCCCCAAGTACACCGTAGCCCCAACCCCACATTCCAATTCATGCGCTAAGTCCTGAAAAAAGCGCTTCAAAACTCCACCAGTCCCGCCCACTTGCATTGAGTGGGCGTCATTCATCATTACAACCCTAATTGCAATTCGCTTGGAGTCACTGGCTCACCCTGGGTTTGGTTTACTGGTTTGGTGAGGTCAGATAATATACCCACCATCAAACCTTGTTTGCTTGTTAAAACCAAAATATTTCGCTGGCAAAAGGGCATGGGTACATCTCCATGAAACACATCATTCAATTCCGATAATTGTAATCATAGAGCAGTCAAATACAAGCTTTCATCACACTTTTATCAAATTAGACCTAAACTACATGATGCGCTATCGTTGCGGTTGGAGTATGAATAGCTGCTTTTTATTCTATTGCATAGAACGCCAAAAGCGTATAGAATAAATAAATAAATAAATAAATAAATAAATAAATAAATAAATAAATAAATAAATAAATATCGCTTCGGCTATGGCAGCGCCAATTTCTCGATAGACGTGATATTTCTCGATTTGACTGCCCCGTCTTTATTCCTACTTATTTCATCGTGTTTAATGTATTGCCGCAACTCCTCCTCCCCCCCCCCCCTCCCCACTTAGACTGCCGCTGTGCAACTTCAGCACAGGAGAGTCCTTGTAGGACATGGAACACAAATTATCTCTCAATGCGGCAGAGCAGCCGCCGCGCGCAATTTGACCCCTCACCTGTGGCTCTCAATAATTGATTTATTTTTCATAGGACCTCCTTATATTTAGATCGCTACTGATCACTCAAAATTTGTCGACTACTGCCCTCAGAAAACATGAAAAGAAAACACACCATACCCGCAGAAAATGACGCTACCGTACAAAACCAGTACGATATTTGTGATCAGCAGGCTAAATAACCCGCCTGGGCCAAGTTTTAGCAAACGCCATGACGAGAAATCTTTGGAGCCGGATAGCCGGATAGTGCCGTTTGACCGCCCTACAGTATACTCAGTCCACCAAATGACATTTTTGTGCAAATAGAGTGTGATATTCATGGCCAGCATTTCGAGTAACCCCCACAGACCGAGATATAGCGAACTTCACGGCTTTGATTATGGGGCCGGATACTGGAGATGGCGAAGAAATCACGTAAGATCCACAAAAGAGCTTTTATGACAGCAACATGGTACTACAAGGATGAAAGAGAACGAATAGAGTAGAAACAAGACTGCGACGATTATGTCGGCTAATATAACAAAGGAGAAATATAGCTCCAGTGGGGTTGAGGCGCTGCCGTAGCAGAAGGTAGATATTGCGCTCTAATCGAAATCCGGCATTTGTAAATGCCGGATTTGCCGGATGTAGTGCCGTCCAGATACCGGATGTCGTGCGGACCGTCGAATTTCAAATTGTGCGGCTTTGACAAACGTATGTTCTCGCCGTTTTCGCGCCTTCTAATATGGGTTTTCGGATTCAGCGTTGCGGATAACCCCCAGTAAGTGGATTTTCTAAAATCGAGTTTTTGCGCGGACACTGCCTTTAGCGCAAAAGCGGGAATTTGAAGGGTGGTGTAGTTGCACCCAACACGAGATTTGACGACGTATGCCAGAATTTCGCACTTTCGGACATGACTAGTCTCAAAGACATCCCTAATGGATTTACACCCTTTTTTGTGATTGTGCTTTTCCTAACACTAGACCCTTTTCTTCTCTTGATGCACAAAAATCTTCTGTATTGATGTTGCCGGCCCCAATCACTTCCTGCATACTCAGACAAATCTGCGCGCAGGCGGCGCGCACTGAATCAGCGAGCGATGTATCGTCCTTTCACCCCGTTGTAGCGGGCACGCAGCCTCAGACGCTCTCCCGCGAAGCGTTTTGACCGCGGCGCAGGGTCGATACGGCGAATCAGCTGCTCATCCGTCCGCTGCCACAAGAATTGATGAGTTTTGGACAATTTTTGTATCTTTTTGTTTGCAGGTTGCAACAAAAGGATGGAAGATAAGTTAAAAAAGTCTTCAAGTTTATTTATGAGTGATATCTTGATTACATGAAAGAAAATATTTCAAAAGTGGCTGACATTGCGCTTAGATTGGATAGTCAGCTTTTTCAGCGAGCAGTTTACTTATATATAAAGTTAACAGACTTTCTCGACTTACCTTCCAACCTTTTGTTGCAACCTGCAAGCAAAAAGATAATGAAATTATCAAAAACTCACCTATTCCCGTGGCAGCGGACGGATGGACAGCTGATCCGCCGTATCGACCCTGCGCCGTGGTCAAAACCGCTTCGCTGGAGAGCGTCTGAGGCTGCGTGCCCGCTACAACGGGGTGAAAGGACGATACCTTCCCGCCGCCTGTGTGTGCAGTGCGCGCCGCCTATGGATTGAAGGCCCGCCGCCTGCGCGCTACGAGAAAAATTTTGGCAGGAATCTGCTCGGATTTTTGTTGTCGGTCTGAATATCTTATGCTCGTTGGACAATATGATTTTACAACTATTTTATTAACGAATAATATTTACAATTCTCAAATTTGACTGGTTTTTAAACGGCAATTCGATCAAATACATTACTTACGAAATTAAGGCGTCTTCAGTAGCTGATATTCACTGTCACTAGCTTAATACGTACAGACTCACATACTCTTTCAAAGGCGATCAACAAGATGTATGAAGTAATGAGTACAACGAACTTGATAGTAACAAATGCAACAATATACGAGCTAACCTGAAATAACCGCCAATGAAATCACAGGGTACTTTGATCAACAAACTGGATCTGTATACATAACTTTGAATACATAATATAGGTACAGTTTTAGAGGGATAGAATATGAAAATGCGATAGCAATAAACAAGACGTGGGCATGCTGGATTAGCCAGAATTAGATGCTCATAGACTTATACTCAGTAATTCATACACCCAATTTAACTTTGGGAAACAAACAATCAGATGACGGGGACATGAGGATAAAAGAATGAGAAGGGATGTATGATGAGACATGAATAATCTGGATCAGCCTCTTCCTCGTTAGTCCTCGTAACGGTCTTTCTTCCATCAAGGATTGATTCCATCAGTCGGTATTAGACGCTTGCCGTGACGCTGAAATACACGCTATCAACAAAATTGAAGAAAAAAGCAACAATTTTGACGAAAACTGAAAAAAAGCAACTTTTCACCTCTTCAAGATAAATAGTCAGGGCTGAGGTCCCCGCGATCACAAACTATCTTGATCGTTGGTATTTGGGACCACTGTAGATTGGTGGCTGAAACACGATAATATGTTTTCGGACAAAATACCTACTTTGGCTTCAAAAAGCAAGACTTACTCTTTTGGACAGACTTTCTTTCGACATTCACTCTAACCATCATTTACGGAAGTAGTTGTGGCCTGAATTCAACACTCCTTTTATCTTGAGAAAAAAAGAAGAAAAAGAAATGGCAATGGAAAGAAACGTAGGAAGCGCAACGACGCAAGAAAGCGCTATTGATTGAAAGTGAGCGTCCCCGTGTCACGAGGTCAATACGATTAAGGACTAGAGGTAGGATAAAAGATATGGAAGACTGATATGAAAAACAAGAGTGATTTTGGATGAAATAAAAGAGGACGTGCTACAAAAAGGCAAAAAATTTGCCTACTTGAACTCAAAACAATTTAGAAATAGAAAAAGAGGTAAAACAGCAGAGTAAAAGTGAGGGAATCGACACACAATACTTTGTATGAAAAAAAAAACAAAGAGAAACGAGGAGGAACGATTCTGCAAAGGATTCTGCATTTGCGCGCGAAAGCAAGCGTCTCTCTTCGCCTACGTGATGCTACAGAAATTACATTGCGCGCCGCCTGCATGCGCGCTGTGTTTGCGCTCCGCCTGCGAACATGCATTGCGCGCCGCCTGTTGGCTGAAATTAGTGCGCGCCGCCTGTGCGGTGCAAGGTCACGCCCACAAAACACGGCCCGCCGCCTGCCCTGCTGGCCGTGAGTGCGCGCCGCTTGCGCGCAGAATTGTCTGAGTAGAGGATTTTGAAAGCACCAGATGTGCCGCAAATACCCGGAGAAAATGGAAACTCTTTGAATCTGCTGATGAAAGCTTTTCATACAAAAATGCTGAATTCAGTTGCGAGTGAAGCATGGCTCCTAATCGTGTTCTGATATTTATGTGACTATTCTTGAATTTGGTTGCTCGCATAAATGACATATGCACTAGATTTCTATTCTCTTATTTGTTACTCTTCATCTCACTTCATTTGTAGATTCCAGGTATGGATGGAAACGTCCAAGAGGTTACCCTTGCACTGCAAGGAACTCTTCAGCAAGATCCCAATATAAGGAAACAAGCTGAAAATCGTATCTGGGAGTATGGAAAGGTCTCAGGTTGGTGTTTTGAGGTTCCCATCATATTTTCGTGATATTCGTTTTTCCTTCTTTTTTTGAGATGTGATTCAGCAAATCTACAAAGAAGTCGTTAGGTCTACTATAAATCTGTAGAAGTCCTCCAATTTCTAATTTTATCAACAGTTAACTGTTATATTGAACGCATAAGTGCACCAGTTATTTTTGGAGTTCTGAAGTCCCTTCAACTGAGAGTTTCTTACCCTTTTGTCTTCCAGGCTTCGCATCGCTTCTTCTTCGAATCGCATGCAGTGAAGAAGCCGCAGCTGAGATTCGAATGGCGGCAGCGATTGCCTTGAAAAACTTTATTAGGAAAAACTGGGTAGGTAAGCTCCTGACTTTGCCTTTTACAAATTCAAAATGTGTAAAGTTATAGAGTGAGGCTCCAGAAGTTGACCTCAGTCCTGAAGAAGAGGAAGAGATCCGGCAGTCAGTGCTCCAAGGGATGTTTCTTATTAGAGGCAACTTACAGAGTCAGCTTTCACATGCAGTACATTTGATGGCAAAGGTGACTCTATTATTTCAAACTCACTTTCATTCCTTGTAACTATTGATTTTGAGAGGGACTTCCCGGAGCGCTGGCCGTCGTTAGTACCAGCACTTGCTGAACAATTGAAAGTGGACGATCTTGGTCGGCTAGTGGCGTCTTTGTTGGCGATGGATCAGCTATTCAAGAAATTTCGTTATGAGAGCAAATCCACTGCTCTGTGGACTGAGCTGAAGTCTTGTCTGCTTACGGTAAGGTTCTATCTTTTGTTTTTTCCCAATAATAGAGTGCCTGCAGCAATCTCTTAAATGCTGCTAAATTTTTTTCTTGTTGAAATGAATATTGAAAAATGCAGGTGCAAGAGCCTCTTACCCGGGTATACGCGAAAATGCTCGAGTTTATCCCGCAGCGAAGCACAATGTCAGCTGAATCCGTTGTACAATGGTTAGAGATTCTGTGTCTCGTTAGCAAAGTGTTCCATTCACTGTGCTTCCAAGATTTGCCTGAGTACTTCGAGGTAAGTTCCAGCTTACTAACTATTTCTTATTCAGCATTGTCTCATTATTCCTTCACTTGAAGACAATCCTCACTTCAGGTACTACGTGGTTGTATTCCATGAACCAAGCATAACCGTGGAATGCTCTTTTTACTTTGTTTGTGTCATTCAGGATAACATAAAACCATGGATGGATGGATACTTGGAAATAATGAAGATGGATTGTCCCAGCGTCTCTTCTAGTGGTGGCGAACCTACTTATCTTGATGAACTAAAGGTATACCTTAGCTTTTAACTATATTTTCTTATTTTCTTGGGCGATTTAGATGGAAGTTTGCGAAATATTCACACTGTATGCGCAGCGATTTGAAGAGGAGATCAGTCCCTTCATGCAGAATATCATCCAAGCTGTATGGCAACTTGTTGTACAAACAAATAGTGAAACGAGGTGTGTTTGTACGTATTTACTCTTTGCAGTACCCATGTCTGAGACTTATTTTTGTTTGCGAATGTTAGATATGATGGCATGGTATGTTCGGCCCTGGAATTTCTTTCAATCATTTCGCAAAAACCACACTACGAAAGCTATTTTGTTGGGGAAGGTGTATTGCAAACTATAGCACGTAAGTGTAACCTTCATGAATTTCATATCAGTATAAACCGTTTCTGAAAGAGTCTTTTTCTGTTTTCTGCTTTTGATATGGGACGCTTCAGAAGATGTATGCGTGAAAAATATGCAGTTGCGACAAGAAGATTTGGAGCAGTTTGAAGACGAACCTATTGAGTTCATGAAGAAGGACATAGAAGGTAATCTCATCTCATAACACACTATGCTGCGAAGTTCTATCCGCTTCCTGATGTCTCTATCGCATACACTTTTTCCATGTTTGTATTCCAGGGACGGATTCATGTACGCGAAGACGGGGTGCGATCGAACTCGTGCGAGCTCTTTGTCGTAAATATGAGCAACAGTTAGTGCCTATCCTTGCGCAGGTCCATCTGTGTTTCTGTTTGAAGTTGACTGTGAATTGTCAATCTCTAGATCGTGATTTTAGATCGTGCAAACATTATGCGCTGACGGAGAATGGATGAAGCTTGATGTTGTATATTGTCTTGTCACTGCTATAGCATCAAAAACCGAAACAGCCAAAAGTGGTGCTACGAGTACGAGTCAGTTGGTTAGTTTTGATTTGGTCATGGTTTGAGATATTACAGTCTTTACGATATTTTCTCACTTCCTTGCTTTATCTTTAACACTATATATTTCATTTCTTTGTGTACATGTCCAGTGATCATAGACAAGTATTAAACTGATCCGAAGGTTGTATGTATCGAACTTTAGACTAGCCTTCTTAGCCAATCTGTATAGAAGATCCAGTTTCAAATGGCAGGGTAAAGCACTTTTCAACAGTGTTTGGAGACTTCCTCTTAACATTGCAGTGCTAGAAGCTGTACTAGAAAATCATCGAAATCCGAACACCAAACTTAGAAATTTTGCAGTAAATAGTAAAGCTTTCTAAAATAAGTCACGCTCTGTTTTTTGTTGATGAGGAAAATCTGTGTTCGAACGTTCTTGTAAACAGTTATAATTTTTTGAGATTGATACCCGAACATCAAATTTGTTGTTTTATATTGTTTGCCCGAAAAAACACACCTTCAATGAAGAGGCCAAATCAGTACTTATCTACCGCCCGCTGGCTGAGAAAGGGCAGATTAGAAAACTCACTCCTCCCGAGATGGGTCGCGAAACTCTTGAGAGTAATTTACATGAGCTATAAAAATGTGCAAGTGACCTACTCATGCTCGAAAACAATAAAAATAAAATTTTTCAAAATTTCCTCGAAAGCTGCCCAAACCTTTTTTTTTTACAATTGGGGGTTATAGGCCTACAAGAAATCTGAGAAAATCCCAGAAAATTTTTTGGATGCGTGGGTAACGCCACGCACCTCACAAAAAAAAAGCTCTCCCCCTTTCCCTCACAGAAATCCTGGAACCGCTACGGTGCATAGCAGAAAGCCGTATAAGAGCTGATATAAAGCGCGTGACCTTCTCTTCCAAAGCACGTTAGATTAGACCTATGCAGATTCGTTAATAAAGTAGAAAGTCATCCATTATTGAAAATTGGGAGCGAGCTTTTGCTCTATTGCAGATAAACGTGGCTGACTACTACGCTGGGCAAGTGCGAGGGCATCTCTCTTCAAATATTGACGAAACTCCCATCTTGAAGACGGATGCAGTGAAGTGAGCATTTGTGATGTTTTTGGCTTGAATATTGCAGTCAAATGTAAATAGGGAATCCGCGTTTACAGATTTGTTGTCACATTCCGGAACCAGTTACCGGCTGAAGTGCTTGTCGAAGTGGTTCAAGCGGCTGATCGTCTTCTAACAGCTCGTTTACCCATCCTCCACAAATATGCTGCTTACGCTATTGATAAGTTGCTGCTTGTCAAGGAACCAAATGGAAGCGTGGGTGTCTTTTGCTGTCTTATACGAAATCATTGTTTACTTTAAGGGTCCGCTATTAACAGCTAGAGTGGTACCTGTCGGCTCATTGTTGAACAATTTGGTTTCCGGTTTTGATAAAGATCCCAAAGCACAAAACTCTCCCTATTTGATCAAGGCTATACTACGATGTGTGGCAATACTCGATGTAAGTTTAATGATTTCTGTATTGCCTTTTCACATTTATATGCGTTTAAAAGAACTTTATCGTAATTCACACCTTTGTATATTCTGATTGGGTATTTTCTACAGGAAGAAACTGCGCGTCATGGTCATCAGATTGCATCCAAACTCTCGGCATTAGTAGCTGCAGCCACAAAGAATCCGGCAGATGCAGTTCATACTCATTTCTTATTTGAGACAATGTGTGTTCTTATAAAGAAGGTAAGATGCTCTTAATTTTTTATCAATTGATCGTTAGGCCACCCGTACCGTGCAAATCTTTTTTTCTTCAGACAGAAACCCTTCCTAATGGAAGCTTGGATGGCGAGCTCATGCCTCTCATCGAAACGATTCTCAGTCAAGACATTGCTGATCTCATACCGTATGCGCTTCAAATCACAGGTGAGCGCTGGTTTCATGCCCCATCTCACTTTCACTCATTTTTTTGTGTTTGTAGGTGTGCTGTTATTGTCATCATTCACCCGATCTAGCACCGTTGATCCGAAGTATGTTGCGTTCCTGCCTTATCTCCTATCTGCGGAGTTATGGGCGCGATCTGCCAATGTACCCGCCGCTTTGTCCGTGTTGGAGGTAATCCAATTCCCTTTATATCCGATCTCCAATTGATTCACTGCGTTTTTTTTTGCTATTTGTCCTTTTTAGACTTTCCTGAAACGTTGCCCTGAGGCTGTAGTCAAAGCGCATGGTGCACTAATAATGCAACATTATTCTCGGTAGGCAGTAGACTCTTGTTAAAGTACTTCGTACAGTCGATTTATAGACTAGTTGGATCCAAGTCTCTTGATCAGTACGGTTTTCAAATGGCAAATGCTATTCTCCCTGTCGTCGAGGTAGAGTTTTTCAGACAACTGTGAAAAATTCGTGATTTCCACGCTTTTAGATGATAGAAGGCGTAGAAAATCCAATGACTGTGCTGCTCAATAATATGTTCCGAAGGGTTCAGTTCAGCAAGACACCCAAGTTTATGAAGCACTTCGTTGTGTTCCTATGTCGATTTGCAATCATTCGAGGAGCAGAGTTACTTGCCAAGGTTAGGTCAGATGTGCCGATGCTAACTCTGAATATATTATTTCTTTAGTCTGTTGAAGCAATCCAAGCTGGAATGTTCCGGATGTTATTGGAGAAAGTAATCGTTGCGGAATTGAACGCCTTGCAAAACCTCACCACGATGGACGACAAGCGGACTATAGCCATTGGGATTGCTAATATATTGGCGGATGCTACCAACTACGTCGGGTAAGACACTATTTTTTCTATGGAGTTTTTGTTACAGTTTGTTACTACTACCAGATTTTGAATTCGCAATCATAAGTTAGTATAAATTCTCATATAATAATAACTCAGAAAAAAACATTTTTTGTTGTCACCTAAAACTTTATTGTGCAAGTCTTTGTGAAAGTCTTTTTTGAGTTTTCAGTGAAGTTTTTACTCAACCCTACTTGCAGTGATCAATACGGAAATTTGGCCGTTGGTGTTGCACAACTTGTTGAAGCTCCATCGGCAAGCGATCGCCCTGTGCTTTCTCCAGAAGAGGAGCAAGTGAGTTCACTGTCTGAAAACATTTTCGGACCTTTGCATCCATATTATGCCGTCGGGAGCTAGCGGGCTTCTTATGGGGTCACTCAAATCGCAGTGCTCCCTTTATGCTATTTTGTATGAATGTTTCTGTAGGGAAATTTGATGGGGGCTTTCTAACGCTTATAGTCGCGTCTTACTCAAACCTGCGAGAGTTTTGGTAACACGTCCGTTGTAAGGCTATCTCCAACTACTTCGTAGAACATGGTGCTTCAAAAAAAATTTCTTTTAATGTTTCGGTTAGAACTGAAGGATTCGAAAGTGCAATGTTTATTTATCTCATATCTTCGTTTATATCAAAGGAAGTTTTAAGTGTTTTCGAAGAGCCTGCCTGCATGAAATTTGCAGCCAAATTTATCGTAATCACGATAGGTTGAACATCATGTAGTAACTTCATCTCTCTAATAAGTGTTTCGTGCAATTTTGTAATAAGAGTTCCGATTTTTGTTGCAAAAGTGATTTATTTAGGCATCTATGTACAATGCTGAAGGAGAGTTTACGAACCCATACTGTCGGCTAAGCTACGCTCCAAAGCCTGACCCTCTTGTGCCGGAGATCACGAACTTTAAAAGTAACCTTTTCTCTACGTGTAATTACAAAAACTGCACTTTCATTCAGATTATCTCGCACGAGCTGTTCTACAACGTGGACCTGCAGCAAACTCTGCCGTTGAAGCCTGTATACCGGCAGAGCTGCGAACACATCTCATGGCTTATGCCTGAAGCTAGGTCAGGTTGAACAAAATGTTGCACTGATGCCTCTACTGTGTTATGCGAGTTTTTTTTTTTGAGAGAGAGAGAGATCCTCTCTTTTTTACTTTTCTCGTTTTTGTTGTTGTTCAAGTTCATGCGCCCGGCCTTTGTGAATGCGAGGTAGTTTCCTTCCCGGCGTAGTATATTTTTCTCCATAGTGGATCATATTGTGTTAAGCTTTTTGATGCTACTCAAAGCGGGGTATGCTTATTCACATAAGATTCTTTTTACGATCTTTTTATCATTCTCAATCGAGATTTTTTTTTGCATCGTTGTTACTTGCCCTCAAGCTTTTGTCACATTCTCATATTTTAATATGTACGTCTCTGTATAATAAAATCACAGTAGCGCAGTGCTTTATTTGCATTTGACAGAACAACTGCTAAGTAAACATCAAATACACCGAATTTTATATTAACTTGAGATCTTTTTAAATTTTTCGCTGTGTTCCCGTATAGAGGTTGGCCTAAAAATTCACTGACAATCATAGGGTAGAATTGCATACTAAAGTCCTTTGTCTATTTTTTTATTAGGGTAGCGTATACTATTAAGTTGAAAAGAAAAGAATATTGCATTTTGCGCCAAAAGTTGCTATCGAAAGCAGGGTAAGACCAACGCTTGAGGTTTCATTTGATTAAACAAAGTAAGCTCTACAGGATGGTTATCGAACAAGTGCAATAGGTACGATCTACATGAAATTTGAACCCAGAATCCAAGTTCCGAATGCGCAGAAAATCGAAAAAATCATCTTTCCCATAAAAATTCTACGAACCTCCAACTTTCTCAAGGATTTATGTGCATGGTGTATTTTCCCGTAGCTAAGAATCAGAACGAAGATTCTTTCGTTTTTTTTCTCAAGCATTGCTGGGCTGTCCCCACACAAGTAAATCTATATTACCAACCTTTGCAATCATCAAGATTCTCAGCGTTTTACAAAAGTTAGTTTTTGAGAAATATCTATTTTAGCACCAAAATCCAAATAAAAATCTGAAATTGATGAGAAGAGAGCTTGTAAAAGGTTGAAAATCCTTCTAGTGTTTGTACAGTTCAATACTATAAATGTACTTGTGTGAGAGCAGGCCAGTATTGCTCTGGAAACAGCGTGAAAGTTTTTGTTATTGATTTCTAGCCATGGAAGAATTACTGCAACTATGCATATGAATATCTGGTGTGGAGAGTATCTTGAGCAAGTTGGAGGTTCGGACCGTGTTGGCAAGATAGATTTTTCTTATTTCCTTGGAATCCTTTGAATTTTGGCTTCAAGAAAATCAAACCTTTTGCGATTGTTTTGTGGAGCTTGCCTCTGCTCTACCAAACAATATTTTGAGCACTTTTTTGGTGTTTACCCTGCTTTGATAGCATATGATGGCACAAACTGCGACATACTTTTTTGTCACTGAAGACGGTATATAACCAGCAGTTCATGGGTGTTCGTAGTTACATACTTATATTACACCTATATCTTTTGAGTAAATAGTATTGTGATGCTGACACTCGTCTCTAGCTGATTCATCATTTGCTGAAGCGTGGCGACTGATCGTTGGAATGCATTAGGCCTCGGGCGTACCTCACGCGATTTCAGTCGCCACGCGATTTGGCAATACTCCAAATGTTCATAACTCATCGTACGGGGTTTTTGAATGTATGGAAGGTGGGGCATTTTATCAACCTACGAAAGCTATACATGCTGTGCATTTGGGGTTAACCAGTATTGAATTTGAAGACATCTGGCAAATTGCCAGATCGCGTGGCGACTGAAATCGCGTGAGGTATGTCCCTTGCCTTAGGCAGCTAAGAGATGTTTCTGCATATCTGAGAACATCAGCTTTCTATATACTACTACTTTGAGGAAATTAGCTTGTTTAACACGGCCATAACCAGCTCTTTTAGAGACCCTGGCTTAATAAGTATTAGGTCAGTTCTTTGCTGCGAGTCCCATTTCTTCTTCTGACTAGGATTTGTGGTAATTTTTTCATAGAGGGAAGTAAGCGCTACAAGATGGCGCCTAGACTGCACAAAGATTGTTAGACATCAAGTTTGAGGCCCAAATCTCACTTAAAGGTTTCCTATAATCGTGAGAAGATTGTGAAAACATCGGACCTCCGCTCACAGTTCCCGCGGACCTGACTCACATATCCTTTGCATCGGGAATGATTTATACCTTTGCTGTTTTTCGTGGTTTTCGGTTGAGAAATAACAATAGGCAAAAGTTGGCTAAAATAGCCATGTGATTTACGTAAAAAATAGTTCTGGATAATCGTAAGTTTTGTAGATGAACAGCAGCGCCAGCGATAAGACAGTCTCCTCGTTGGTTGCGTTTAGAGAATATATGTGGTTCCAGCGTACAAAATGCTTGGTGAAAGGAGGTGCAGACCTTTTCTTAGAGATTGAAAGGTTTTTCGGGATAAAAAACCGCTTGACTTTTGATGAGCAGCTAGAACATGAAGATGTTGTTATCGCTGTGTTTTCTGCTTTTGAATACTCAGTCTGCTCCAAAGACGACTGTCTTAAGGCATTCAATTTACTAGCGTTATCGCTTTGTTTCTCCCTTCTTGCAGAAGTCGAAAGATACCTCCATCCGGTTCCCCCATGTTAGAACTAATAAATTTAATGGAATAACAGTAATTGTATGCCGAATGAAGAAGGAAGAAAAGATCTTTCAAATGATACAAATTCTCAATAATTATCTTGATTCTAATAAGAAAACCTCATTTGTTTTGTCAACATGTGTGGACACGGTATTGAAATATTCCTCATTCGGATTTTTATGCTGAACTTGATACTTCAGAAATCTATTGTAAAAGACATGGTCTAGCTTTCAAAGGTTTGAGCTATAGCCTTACCTATGTACGAATACCTCACAATTGTTTTGGAAAAGGAATTATTTCCGTGTTTTTGTCCCTTAACCATGGATAAAATAGAGCAATATTTATATGTCCGATGTGGGAAGTACGCGCGCAGGCAATTCATTTGTAAGGTTATTCTGAATGTCCAAATTTTTCTTGATATCTCGCGCATTTACAACTTTTCAGATCCTGGCTTCGAACTCTGCGTGGATGAGGTTTGTGCAGATCTCTTGACGCCATCTTGTGTTACTTGCTTTACTTTATGAAAAGGTGTCGAGAAACCTATCATGACATTAGAAGAGTATGATTTATTCCGATCAATAACGCAGAAGACTTAAGGGGCAACGATGCAGGTTGGTGCTAGTAGTAGAAAGGTTGTGCTCCATAATAGATGTTCAAACGTATCATTCTACGAGTTAGCCACTGAGACTGAGAACAGTTTTCAAAATGACCTTTCTATTCCGATTTTGAGTTTGATACCAAAAAAGTGCGGAGAATCGCTTGCTGTAAAATCTCTCAAATAGCGTAGTCCTACGGTACGTTAGCAGGCTTCTATTCCTGCATCAAAATGCAAAAATCAGGTGGTGCAATGGTTTTGTCAGTTTTTAAAATAATCCGCAAATCCAACACAATAGAGATGAACAACCACCCCAAGCGATATCCAATGCAGATTTTCTTTCTCTTACAAGCGGCCATGTTCTTACAAGGGAAGGATACCCGATCGCAGTGACGATTGGGTAAGCGGTGTATACCGCGTATACCGTCCGCAGACGGTGACCTCTAAACCGCACTTCGTATCTGCTATGACGTCCTGGAAAACAGTTATAAAGGATTTTTGGTGCTGCAGGCGCATTCAAGTACTAGAATTGCCTTGTCACTGTTGTATACGATTGATGCTGGCCGGTGGCTAGTGGGTAGTGGCTTGGACTGCTGAGCTGGATGTCGTGGGTTCGATTCCCCTCTGGTGACGAGGGTTTTGCGTTCTTGCGAAATCCTTCATAGCTCTGAGAACACCGTCTGGGGACGGTATTCGCGGTATGCACCTCTTACGTAATAGTCACTGCGATCCAGTATCCTTACCTTGTTAGATCCGTTAATGGATGCTGAGAGAGTCGCTAGAGATTGTAATTTTGTTTTCCAATTTCACTAATTTTCAGCATTTTCTACGGGACTCTTGACGCTGCTCTGTAGCCAGCTAATAGAACAAACCTTTTACTCTGTGGCTTACCCTTTATTTGTAAAACATATTTTTGAAGTGACTAAAATTTATACTCAGCCTAATCTAATCTCATACATCATAGAAGGGTAAGGTGAGCCAAAATTCGAAGCAACCTTCCTTTTCTTTCTAATTGTTGTCCTTTCTTGGTGAGACAAGCGGGGAAATCGCAATGTCTCTTAATTTACGAGTGTGCTGCAAATTTTAATTTGAAGCAAAAATGGCTCAATTGATTTGTAAGGATGGTAGGGAAATTGAGTTTAAAACCTCAGTATTCTGAAGATTTTGCAGTGTTTGGTTTAATGATGTGTTATGCGGTTTTATCAAATTTCGAGACTGTTGGAAAATTATTTGGCAAAGTGTTGGTAAAGAAGCTTCGAGAAGTAAGCATTACTTTTGTTGGCAAAAGGTAATCCTTTTTCTGCTGGATATCGATGCTTTCCCAAAAGTCTCAAGCAAACATTGAAAATCAGCGAAAGTGAGACACGCTAAAACTGAAGGGTCGCAAACTTCGACGATTAATTCAATGCTCATTCGAAGAATTGCATGCGCGACATATGTGAGAAAAGGAAGAATCATCTATTCACGGCTGAGAAATCGATCTCCAAACATCCTCCACATCGGTTGCTTTTCAAGATATTTGCTTATTATCTACGTTCTTTCGAATTTGAGGCTGGATTCAAAAAACTGGCAAAACTTTTGCACCGATCAATAGTCGTTGCGAAAAATGTCATAATACATGATAAATCCTTCTTATAGGGCATCCGAAAAATCGTGACGATGGCGCGACCGGTCGCAACACGCACGCACTCCCAATTCTTGGTTTCTATCCCTACCCAAATAGTTTTTCTGCTTACATATGATGGTATTCAGGCACTGGAAGTGTCTGAGCTTAGCGCTGAGGTGTTGCCTGTTTCGGTGAGCATCAGACGGTGCTGGTGAAGTGCAGCAGCAAAATTTTCCTTGTAAAACGACAATTTTCGTAATTTTTGTCCTTGCATTTTCATCCGAGATATTCTGCCGCGCTATCGTTCGGACTACTGTTATGTAAGGAAATTTTACGAATTTCTCTGACTAACTAGCGATTCTTCGCAGTTTTCTAAACTCAACATGGCAAAATTTGAAATTGTATCTAAAAGCTTCGTTCTCGGTGGCTTTCTTTCATAGAAATTAAGCCTAAACATGTATCGTGGAGCGCAAATCTTGCATTAAGGGCAGTGTCCGGACAAAAACTCGATTTTGAGATTTTGTGCTTACCCGGGCCTATTCGCTACGCTGAATCCGAAATTACACATCGGAGAGCGCGAAAACGGCGAAAAGCGGCTCTAATACAGGAGGGAAATCAGCAGGTGGGCGGGGTCCTCTCCACTGTGAATTCACGCTCACAGCTTCCGGAGCAATCTTCTCGCTTCCGGTCTTAAGTCAATCATCCGTATTTGGCCGGTAGCGATGTCAGGACGGCTAGCGGAATCGAGAAGACCGCTTCGGGAGCTGGGAGCGTAAATTTACAGTGGGGACTTCCCCGCCCACTTGTTGTTTCCCTTTTGCGCTAAAGCCTTTTTGTCGTTTTCGCGCTTTCCAGTGTGGATCGGATTCAGCATGGCGAATAGGCCCGTATAAGCACAAAATCTCAAAATTGAGTTTTTGCCCGTTACTGCCTTTGAAGCGCAATGATGAATTCACACCTATTGCCTGGAATGTTATCGAAATTTGCTCGAACATACCCAATGGCTTGGCTCAGGTGTCCCATATTCAAAACATTTTGGACGGTGAGAACCCTTGAGGCAGAAATGCACCAGGCGATGGCGGGAACTGTTGCTGCATTTGGAGCGATTTTCCAGGTATTGGTGGAGCTGCACTTCGTTGCGCAGAAACTGGAGCAGCTGCCGGGAATTGTTGCTGTGGTTGAGTTATCGGCCTCGTAGGCTTACCAGGTACAAAAGGCATGGTGGCAGGCTTTACTGAAACTTGCTGGACCAGCTGTTGTGCAGTCATAGGTTTCATGCCGACTCCTCCAGGCTTATACGACATTTGTTGTAATTGTTGTGCCGCCACCGGTGCCGCAGCTGTTTTTCGACTAAGTCCAGCGGCAGTCTTGACTGAAATCTGCTGTACTGGCTGTGCTCCCATATCAAATACAGGAACACCTTGGTTAGGTAGAGGTGGGAGTTGTAGCAGCTGATTTGCGACTATTTGCTGGCCAGGAATAACTTGTTCAGGTACGCCAGGATTGCCTTGCATTTGCTGTACAGACATCGGTTTCATACTCATTCCACCTTGGGCTACACCTGCCCCAGGTATTCTCTGCATTTGCTGCGCGGACATCGGTTTCATGCTCATTCCACCTTGAGCCACACCGGCCGCAGGCATCCCTTGCATCTGCATTTGCTGTACAGACATTGGTTTCATGCTCATTCCACCTTGGGCTACACCTGCCCCAGGTATTCTCTGCATTTGCTGCGCGGACATCGGTTTCATGCTCATTCCACCTTGAGCCACACCGGCCGCAGGCATCCCTTGCATCTGCATTTGCTGTACAGACATTGGTTTCATGCTCATTCCACCTTGGGCTACACCTGCCCCAGGTATTCTCTGCATTTGCTGCGCGGACATCGGTTTCATGCTCATTCCACCTTGAGCCACACCGGCCGCAGGTATTCCTTGCATCTGCATTTGCTGTACAGACATTGGTTTCATGCTCACTCCACCTTGGGCTACACCTGCCCCAGGTATTCCCTGCATTTGCTGCGCGGACATCGGCTTCATGCTCATTCCACCTTGAACCACACCGGCCGCAGGTATCCCTTGCATCTGCATTTGCTGTACAGACATTGGTTTCATGCTCATCCCGCCTTGTCCCACACCGGCGGCGGTCTTGAATGATACCTGTCCCATTTGTTGTGCTGTTCTATATGACATCTGCTGTTGTTGCTGAGCACTTACTGCTCTCGTACGAGTCTTCTGAGCAGCAGCAGTCTTTAATGACACAGGTTGTTGTTGTACAGGCTGAGCGGCCATGGGTGATACTTCCATTCCCGGCAAGAGATTATTGTCGAAAGGTATTTGTTGCTCGACTTGTTGGACTCCCATCTGCTCTACTGGAATATTTTGTTCAACGAACATAGGTACTTGTTGTGGTTGCATTCCTTGTTCAGGGTAAACAGCCGTTCCTAATGTTTGCTGTCCCATAGCCTGCGCAGTCAGCAAAGCTGTTGGAGTCTTGTGTGACATTTGCTGCATTTGCTGAGCCGAGATTGGTCTTGTGGGAGCACCTTTGGCAGAAATGGGAGCTTGTTGTTGGAGCTGAAGCTGTTGAGTGCCTATTCTCGCTGTAAATCTTTGGGTAGGTACTGCTGGTGATCCAGGAATCGGTTGGTTAAATGTACCCGTTCGTTGCTGTGCCGACAGTGGTGTGTACTGTTTTGTAGCAGCACCTGGCAATTGTTGATTGGGTTGTTGTTGAGACAGTGCTGCCAAATTCTCATATTCCATTTGACCAGGCTGCTCTTGCATCTCTGGCATTTGCTGCTGTTGGAGAGTTTGCGCAGTTGGTGCTTGTGCTGGCAACGTGGCAGGCTTTACGGATTGTGGTTGAAATGACAGATTACTGGGTGTTCTACCGGTTTTCAGTGAAGTGTACGGTTTTCCACCTCTTGCGAGGCCAGGCGACGTACTCATCAATTTCGTCGGTGTCATAGCTTGCGTTGGTGCCCTAGCTTGTGGTGGTGTTCTAGCTTGCGTTGGTGTTCTACCTTGCCTTGGTGTTCCAGTTTGCGTTGCTTGGTAAGTTCTTAGTCTACTAGGATGCTGCATCGAAACCGCTGCCAAATTCTCGTATTCCAACTCATTTTCAGCCTCAGTTGTTGAAGCAGGCTGTGGCTGACCGCCACCTTCTCCTGGTAGTGCCCTAGGCTGCGACAAGGCACTCTGTGGTCTTCTTCGAGTGTCGACACTTCTAGTATCTGCACTGCGTTGAGTTTGGGATTTGACTGTGGACTGTGTTGAAACTCCGTATTGGCTGTCATGTTCTCCTCCGTAGGTGACGTCTTTGAATGCCGGAGCATTAGGATCTGGACGAACCGTGGCTCTGCTCTGAAAACAACTCATGGTTTTATCAGGCTTGTACAGGTAGTCTTGAAAATATATCGTAGTACATCCGCGCTGCGACAACACTTGCGGAGCTGACATTACGGGAGAAATTATGCGACTTTGTGCAGTCGAGTAGATTTTCCGCTTAACCCATTGACGACGATGTGGACCACCGGTGGAAAACGCACTTTTTGCCGCCAGGGACGATATGGACCACCGGTGGCCCACACTCCTTGCAAAATTATATCCTTTCCAAGCCAGTATTTTCCCGGAGTTCAGCATTTTTTCCAGTTTTTTGCACTCTTAGAAACTGTAGACTTCGTCGTCCAAGAAGACGGCTGTAGTTGTTTACAAAACATTTTTTAATCTCGTAAATAAGCACAAAACTTTCCCACGCCGCAATTGTTGTGCAAAATCGCGTTGTCCCACAGCGCCGCCACGCAAAACTAGGCGTCGTCGTCAATGGGTTAATATAGTGTGCTTGCACAGAAAGTGAAATGCTGTAAATTTGCGCGTGAATAAATAGCTTCGACTGTGACGCCGGCTAATTACGCGTGCCGAATGCCGGCAGTACTAGCGTGGCTATTTATTCACGCGAAAATTTCATCGCATTTCACCTTCTGTGCAAGCACACCATATTAAGCGGAAAATCTACTCGATTGTACATTAATTGCTTGGAATGGTTCAGTCTCCACCAAGACAGGCTCAAGACACTAATAACCTGTTGACTCTGCATTTCCAGTAAGCGATAAAGATTATGATCAACGTCGTAACAGTTGAACTCGCGAATTTATTGGGATCACGCGGATTTTACTCAAACCTTGAATCGCGAATCTAGCTCATAATCGTTCTAGCGTCGGTTAGCGATGGCGGGCAGAGGAGCGAACTCCTCAATTAGGTACCGCTTCCACCGGCTGCTGGTCCTTTCGTCCTACTGTTGTGCATCGTGTTGATCAGTAGGCCGCGGAGGCGGTGCTTAATTGAGGTGTTCGTTCCTCCATCCAGCGATGGTCCATAATTCACACTCGGCAAAGTCTCAAATGCGCTCTAGAAAGCAACAACTAGACAAATTTTGACATATGAGGGTCTCACATAGAAATTACTGGGGCCTTAATTAAGACCTGTCCAATCGCAGTACAAATGATTTGCTCACCTCTGAGCTATTCGCCTCCGAACTAGACCCCAACATCGTACCAACGGGCTTGTGCTTGCGTGCTTTCGCGCGAGGAATCAAGAGAAATTGATGGATCTGGCACGAAACCATGTGAACACGATGCAAGACGTCCGTTATATATAAGTCTGGTTTGGAGATGAATATCGCAGTCGAGGGTGCACGATTTGAGCGGCCGCTAGGGCATTGTCTTATTAGTGTCCCAAAATACTTTTCTCGTGAGATCTCCATATGTCCAAGTTTGCTTGGACACTTCCAGTGAGTGTCGTTTTCAGCTCTCTAGTCAACTTCAAGCTTTTTTTTTCGTATTTTAGTGGGACGCTGAGAGAGTAGACCTCACTTCTTCCTTATCTAGCGGGCTATACTTGATCCACTTGACCCACTTCGCAATCAGGTAAATCTGTGGCTTACCAGTAGCGAAATGGGTTAAATGGATCAAGTGGATAACCATTTCGCCATCGGTCAGTTCACTGGTTTGAAATTGCGAAGCGGATCAAGTAGGTCAAATGGATCAAATATGGCGCGTACCTTATAGGATACTACGAAATTAATTTTTTGCTGGCAAAACGCCAGCACAGCGAGAACTGTAACTGTCTGGATGGGCCAAATCATTCCAATCAGCGATATCCTGATGTTGTCAAAACTGAGGGACCCGTCATACTTTGCCGAAAAAAGCCCAAAAGCCCTCAAAAGAGCCCCAAAAGCCCGGAAAAGCCCAAAAGCGCCAGAAAGAGGAACGTCTCCGTTTTGACACTAAAGCATGGTGTTGATTTTGCAACCGAGTCTTTTTGCTTCATTTTCTGTCGTCTGCACATCAAAATAGGATCAGAATTCTACCATGATTTCGTTTCTGCTTCCGGCTCTTTCGGGCTTTTTCGGGCTTTTTTGGGCTTTTTGGGACTTTTTTGAGCGCTCTTGGGCCTTTTCGGCGGAGCATGACGGGTCCCTGAGTGGTACGTAAAGTACCATGCTAACGATAATGCTGCAAATTTTTTGGAAATACTGACCACCCCAGGCACTCCCTTCTGCAATTTCAACCCTGTATAGCGTCCTAACCATTGCATAATCTAAAAAAAGGTTCACTTCGTTGAGACTGACATCGAAAGGAAGAGAAAATTCGCATGCCTCAGTCATGCTTGGTCGTTTGCTAGGATTATTATCCCACAGTTTGTCAAGTACGTAATCTGCCAGTTTTTTTGGAGTTTCCGGTGGAAAATCGTTTAGTTTACCTTCTAATATCTAGAATGAACATTAGAAACATTCTAAGAGATCAGATAAAATAGCGTGCAGTCGGCCACACTTACAAGTGCCTTTACTTCTTGACTTGGTACCCCTTCGTACGGCTCCCTCTGAGAGAAAATTTCAAATACAAGGACCTAAGCAATTCCGTTCTCAGTGCTTGCAGCGTGTTGCTCAATATCTTTCATCTTACCCCAAACGAGTATACATCTGATTTTTGACTGTAGCGGAAATCTTTCAATGTTTCTGGTGCCATCCAGTTCACCGCTAGCTTTTTCAGCGCCTTCATGGTGTAGTTCAATGTTTTTCGCGCTAGTCCAAATCCACTCAATTTTACCTGAAGTAAAAGCTTATTATTTCCTGTTTTGTCCAAATTTTGCCCTTCTCACCATTTGCCTGTCATAGAAACAGTTCTTCGCGCTCAAGTCTCGGTGAATGATGTAGTTTGAGTGTATGAACTCTAGACCCCAACCGGCACTGACAATCATTCGCAGCATCTCTTCTTTTTTCATTTTACCTTCTTTACTTTTAAGATAATCATCTAGCGGTCCTCCTGTAAAGACTTCGATCTTGTAAACTACTACTTTGCTTATATAGCCTAGTAAGCTTGGCGACAACGTTAGCGTGTGAGAAACGGCGACTGCGGTCTATAGGGGTTTCAGCGTAAATCGCGGGCAAATTGCCGGCGCTCACAAAATTGACGCTTGTTCCGCGTAAATGTTGTACCCCCTTTAGGGGTACTATACTGATCATTAGATCTATGAAACTGTCTGTACAGGTGTCCCAAAAATTGTGCACACTGTCTAACTGTTGATAACATATTTGCTCCAACTGGATTTTTCGCTACCATTCTGTAGCGCTTGCTTCAAGTTGAATCTTAATAAAGCGGGTTACCGATGACTCTTTCTTAATGTAGAGTAATCATAGGAATTTTCAGCAAGCAGCGCCATCGTGAATTATGCCGTTTTGAAAAAAAAATTCCAGAACGCATGGAAAATTTTGTTTAAGGGACCCATTATACTTTGCCGAAAAAAGCCCAAAAGCCCCCAAAAAGTCCGAAAAAGCCTAGAAGCGCCAGAAAGAACCGGAACTCGCGAGTTTTGGCTCTAAGGCATGTGTGTTGGTTGCAGCGGGTGTTTTGGTTCATTTTCTGTCGTCTGCACATCAAAATAATGTCAAAATCCTGCCAAAAGTTCGTTTCTGGCTCCGGATTTTTCGGGCCTTTTTGGGATTTTTCCGGCATTTGAGCTTTTTCCGGCTTTTTTGGGGTTCCGGGCTTTTTCGGGCTTTTTTGGTCTTTTTTGAGCGCTTTTGGGCTTTTCTCGGCGAAGTATGACGGGTCCCTAACGCATGCTTATTTCATTTTACGATTTTTTTCACAAGTTTCCTTATCTATTTCAGTTTTGAATTTGGAAAACACTTTTTGTATCTTTATCTAGATCTAAAAAGTGTTTTCTATATCTATACTAGCGATCCTACGGGTCGCTAGCAAGTGGATCAGGGCAGATACAATATAAGGGCTTAGTTGTGACTAAAAATATTTCTGAATAAGTTTTCTGTTCTTTTCCTGAGAACATTTTTGCGAAAAGAATTCCACAAAAGGATAACTGCTCGAAGAAGCGATAATCTCCACAAATCATTCTGCATTTCTCATTCCTGCTACAACCATGCATGATATTATTCTTATCTAGTTTACACCCTCTTTATGTAAATCCCCTCCTCACAAAAACATTCAGATACCCCCCCCCCCATTTTTCTACCCCCTCAAAGAGAATTTGCTCTTTCAGTTCTTCTCAACAAGTTCCATAAAAGATCGTTGAGTAGCAGAACATCTATCGTTTTGGAAGTAGAAATACACCATAAGAATTAGTGTACTACAAAAAACACTTTTCTCTCAGAATCAATTTCGACAGCAACGAAATCAATCGTCTAAGAACTTTGTTAAAGAATCCTTATTTTTTCGCTGAAGGAATATGAAGCTTTACTACAAAAGGGAGCCACCTAAAGACCGTCAATCATAAGAACTGCACAAACGTACTTGAAATTTCTTTTCCTGTCCGATCAAATTGCCCTACGTGCCGCTTGAAGACCGTTTAAGAATTATAAGGACCGCCCCAAACATTCAAAAATCTGTTTCCCTGCCCGATCGGGTTGCCCTACGTGCCGCTTACAGACCGATAGTAACTATTCAAAAAGAAGGTTTATTCCCTATGTGCCGCTTAAAGACCGTTTGAAAATTATAAGAACTGCCCCAAACATACAAAAATCTGTTTCCCTGCCCGATCGGGTTGCCCTACGTGCCGCTTACAGACCGATAGTAACTATTCAAAAAGAAAGTTTATTCCCTACGTGCCGCTTGAAGACCGTTTGAAAATTATAAGAACTGCCCCAAACATACAAAAATCTGTTTCCCTGCCCGATCGGGTTGCCCTACGTGCCGCTTACAGACCGATACTAACTATTCAAAAAGAAAGTTTATTCCCTACGTGCCGCTTGAAGACCGAAAAAATTACAAGAACTGCCCCAAACATCAAAAAAATCTGTTTCCCTGCCCGATCGGGTTGCCCTACGTGCCGCTTACAGACCGATAGTAACTATTCAAAAAGAAAGTTTATTCCCTACGTGCCGCTTAAAGACCGTTTAAAAATTATAAGAACTGCCCCAAACATCAAAAAAATCTGTTTCCCTGCCCGATCGGGTTGCCCTACGTGCCGCTTACAGACCGATAGTAACTATTCAAAAAGAAAGTTTATTCCCTACGTGCCGCTTAAAGACCGTTTAAAAATTATAAGAACTGCCCCAAACATACAAAAATCTGTTTCCCTGCCCGATCGGGTTGCCCTACGTGCCGCTTACAGACCGATAGTAACTATTCAAAAAGAAAGTTTATTCCCTACGTGCCGCTTGAAGACCGAAAAAATTACAAGAACTGCCCCAAACATACAAAAATCTGTTTCCCTGCCCGATCGGGTTGCCCTACGTGCCGCTTACAGACCGATAGTAACTATTCAAAAATAAAGTTTATTCCCTATGTGCCGCTTAAAGACCGTTTGAAAATTATAAGAACTGCCCCAAACATCAAAAAAATCTGTTTCCCTGCCCGATCGGGTTGCCCTACGTGCCGCTTACAGACCGATAGTAACTATTCAAAAAGAAAGTTTATTCCCTACGTGCCGCTTAAAGACCGTTTAAAAATTATAAGAACTGCCCCAAACATACAAAAATCTGTTTCCCTGCCCGATCGGGTTGCCCTACGTGCCGCTTACAGACCGATAGTAACTATTCAAAAAGAAAGTTTATTCCCTACGTGCCGCTTGAAGACCGTTTGAAAATTATAAGAACTGCCCCAAACATACAAAAATCTGTTTCCCTGCCCGATCGGGTTGCCCTACGTGCCGCTTACAGACCGATACTAACTATTCAAAAAGAAAGTTTATTCCCTACGTGCCGCTTGAAGACCGAAAAAATTACAAGAACTGCCCCAAACATCAAAAAAATCTGTTTCCCTGCCCGATCGGGTTGCCCTACGTGCCGCTTACAGACCAATAGTAACTATTCAAAAAGAAAGTTTATTCCCTACGTGCCACTTGAAGACCGTTTAAAAATTACGAGAACTGCCCCAAACATCAAAAAAATCTGTTTCCCTGCCCGATCGGGTTACCCTACGTGCCGCTTACAGACCGATAGTAACTATTCAAAAATAAAGTTTATTCCCTACGTGCCGCTTGAAGACCGAAAAAATTACAAGAACTGCCCCAAACATACAAAAATCTGTTTCCCTGCCCGATCAAATTGCCCTACGTGCCGCTTGAAGACCGTTTAAGAATTATAAGGACCGCCCCAAACATTCAAAAATCTGTTTCCCTGCCCGATCGGGTTGCCCCTACGTGCCGCTTACAGACCGATAGTAACTATTCAAAAAGAAGGTTTATTCCCTATGTGCCGCTTAAAAGACCGTTTGAAAATTATAAGAACTGCCCCAAACATACAAAAATCTGTTTCCCTGCCCGATCGGGTTGCCCTACGTGCCGCTTACAGACCGATAGTAACTATTCAAAAAGAAAGTTTATTCCCTACGTGCCGCTTGAAGACCGTTTGAAAATTATAAGAACTGCCCCAAACATACAAAAATCTGTTTCCCTGCCCGATCGGGTTGCCCTACGGCCCCAAACATACAAAAATCTGTTTCCCTGCCCGATCGGGTTGCCCTACGTTCCGCTTACAGACCGATAGTAACTATTCAAAAATAAAGTTTATTCCCTACGTGCCGCTTGAAGACCGAAAAAATTACAAGAACTGCCCCAAACATCAAAAAAATCTGTTTCCCTGCCCGATAGGGTTGCCCTACGTGCCGCTTACAAACCAATATTATCTATCTAAAAGACAGTTCATGCCCTATCTGCCGCTTGAAGACCGTTTAAAAATTATAAGAACAGCCCCAACATGCAAAAATCTGTTTCTCTGCTCGATCGGGTTTCAACAGACTTTTGTATACCAAAACGGTGACAAGTTTTCCTCTCTTGCACAGCAAACCTGCAGAGAATACAGGGCCTAAATATCACTCATCTCAGATCTCAGTAAAATAAAAACAAATTTCCCTACTCATCTTTCGTTTGTTTTGTTAGTTCTTTCAGACGTTCCGTTACATCTGCTCATTTGTATCTGCTATTTGTACCTACAGGCGGATGTCATATTTGGAGTAAAATCTCTCTCACTGAGTGTTTTCAAGATACTAAACACCTCACACAGAAGAGTCGGATTTGTAATGAACTCACGATCAGTTTTAGCTCCGATGTTACCGGGAGTACGCTTGGCAAATTTCTACCTCAAAATTCCCCTCTCCATAGAAAACAAATTTTCGGCGATAACAATCTTATTAGAAGCAAATATCAAAGATCCGGTCAGATTAGATTCCCCTCTCCTTAGAAACCAAATCATCGGCGATGACAATCTCTTATTAAGATATTCTCGAATGAGAAGAATCCAGAACAACAGTTACTGGAAGAAATTCTAGAATGAACGTGGAAATTAGAACAGTTCCTAGGATGGTCAAAACTGCAGACGTGAAAAATAATGACGATATCGATCGAAAACACGCCCGAAACATGCCGTTATGCATGTGTGTTGTTTCAGTTGCCCATACTTACGAAATTTGGCACCGTTCCAAAGGCTTACGAAAATCTGGCATCGTGCCAACTGACTTACTCACCGCTAATGGCAGCAATCCAATTCCAAAGATCAGTGTATTTCATCATAATTTTTACGTCTGCGCCCTCCTCGTTTGCCATAATCCAACTATCAGAGGGTTAATGGGTAAACAACGAATTCGTTATATATTACGTAGTGATTCTGGATATATCTAGGTATATCTAGAAAATCTTATAGAAGACTAGCTGGCTTACCCGGCTCCGCCGTATCCGGACCAAACTTGGCACACATACACTTCGGGCCCCGGCGGGTGTCACAGTCCACTTTTCGTTATCGATCGATGTCGATTTTACCGATTTTTATCGATTTTTTGCAGAGTTCACCTAAAGGGCTAGGAGTTGGCACAGGGGGGGGGGAAGTGAGCATGGGGATTCCGAATACAATATTAGTTTTCAGAATTATCGATTACTTTTATTGGTTTTATTTTTTTGTAAATTTTGACATGCGAGGCTGGGATTTTGCACAGGGGGTAATCGAGCATGCTGATTACGAACACAATATTAGTTTTCAAGATCGTCCATTACTTTTATCGATTTTATCGATTTTTTTGTAAAGTTTGACCTGCGGGGCTGGGAGTTTGCACAGGGGGTAATCGAGCATGCAGATTACGAATACAATATTAGTTTTCAAGATCGTCCATTACTTTTATCGATTTTATCGATTTTTTGAAAATTTGAGCTAGGGGGCTGGAATTTGGCACAGGGGTGTAATCGAGCATGCTGATCACCCCCCTTGGGAGTGATCAGCATGCTCGATTACCCCCTGTGCCAACTCCCAGCCCCCTAGCTCAAACTTTGCAAAAAAATCGATAAAATCGATAAAAGTAATCGATAATCCTGAAAACCAATATTGTATTCGGAATCCCCATGCTCGATTACCCCCCTGTGCCAACTCCCAGCCCCGTAGCTCAAACTTTGCAAAAAAAATCGATAAAATCGATAAAAGTAATCGATAATCCTGAAAACCAATATTGTATTCGGAATCCCCATGCTCGATTACCCCCCCCCCCCCTGTGCCAACTCCCAGCCCCGTAGGTGAACTCAGCAAAAAAATCGATAAAAATCGATAAAATCGATATCGATCGATGACGAAAAGTAGCCTATGACACCCGCCGGGGCCCGAAGTGTGTATGTGTGCCAAGTTTGGTCCGGATCGGTTCAGAAATGGAATTTTCTATTCGGAACATACGTACATACATACATACATACATACAGACATACAGACATACATACAGACAAACAGACATTCAGCTTTATATATAAGATAAAGGACTGTGATGTGCAAATTTCAAATTTAAAATCCACGAATTGGTTAGCTTATCATGACAATTTTCCTTATTGAAACAATAGGCGCTTCCAATGCTCCAAAAGTTTTTTCAAAGTTCCTACCGTAATCCTACCTCAAAGGCAGCGTCCGGGCAGATACGAAAATGTTGAGTACAGGGGCGCCCGTCCTGGTAAGGCTCTTGTCCTGCTGGCAATGCACCAATTTGCTGAAGCGAGAAATCCGCTTCAAAAGTGGCGACCGGAACGCCCCGGCGACTGGGAAGAGTTATTTCGATAAGCCAGAGTGCGCATATTGCACACAGTCAAGACGTAGGGTCCCACAAAGACTCTGCGTCTTAAGCTTGGCGGCAGGCACAAAATTTAAATCAAGAGCTTCCGAAAAAGCCCGTTTTCGACGTTTTCATGGCATCCAAGCTGCATTTTCGGAATCAGCGGGAGGAATTAGCCCAGGTAAGCGAAAAAAATTTGTTCGTTTGCCCGGACGTTGCCTTTAACGATAAGAGGTTGAAGATTCGCCTCATAATGTAAATCCAAGTAAAAGATACTTGTTGAGCGCGATCACTCGTATGAGACACGTATCAGGGAATCCCTAACAAATCGCTGATTACAAATTTGCTTCCGCTATCTGCTAAACGATTGCTTGAAGTAAGTTATGAGTCCCTTACTCCTCAGAGTTTTTGCACATTAAAGCATGATCAGAATTAATGGGTACTGGGTTTTTGAGGAAACAAATGTGAGAGCTTATTCAAGCTGGAAGCAGTTGCGCCTTCTTTCCATTTTGCATCCGAGGAGTGAAACGAGAAATTGAGCGGTGCTCATAGAAATGCTCAACTGAAATAGTGCAAATTTTAATGGAAAAAACTTGTAACTTTCTGACCATTGCTTAGCAGATAGTAAGAGGTATATAAAACAGCGTAAAAATACACATTCAATGTTAGTGTTTCATCAAGAAAGAACACGGACACCAAGTACTTATCCTCTGTAAGTTGAAGCCAGCTCCACGGAACTGTTTGTAAAAATTGGCAAAGTGCAACGAAGCGAGAGCGTTATCAACGATCAAACAGTTGGCACATTCTGTATATTTAAACTACCTGGTACATATTCCAGAAGAAAGCAGCATGGATGTGTTACTAGACATACACCATAATATTCAATAACACATGGATGGTGAAGATCTCGTAGCAAGCGACATTGGCGCATCATTTCTTGAATAGTGAGCTTTGCAGCTGCGGACCTCCCTCGTACCTCAAAGAAAACAAGTCAATATTGTCATTTTACTTCGAAATGACCTGGACAATCATCAAACGCAATCCCAGATCCCCAGAGAAACTTCTCACCGATGTCACAGCAGTTTCCCAATTCTTATTTTCTCGTTTGAATAGACCCTTTCGTATTTCTATACAGCCTGATTTGTCTATGGTCTTTCCTAATTGTAATTCGTCTGCTCGTAATTCCCACGATGCTAGAGTAATTGGTCTGCGAAGTTTCAGCTTTAACTGAAGTAAGTGGAGTTGTTCACAGTTCGCATTATAAATTCTTCAGAAAACTCACATCATTTATTGCAAGTGAATGCTTTGAGTAGTAATTTGTTAATTCGTCTACACTTTTAAATAGCAAGAAGTTACCGATGTAATACTTGTTACGTGCACTATGTATAATTAAGTTAAAAACCTAAACGTACTTTATCATGCCCTTCTTGCTTATAATGGTCGTGCTATTCTTCTCCTTCTCTGACTCACTCTCCGTTTCTCTCTCTATTCTCACTCACTCTCTCTTTCTCTCCCTCTAACTTATCTTACATCTTCTTCTTCTACGGGACCGTTTTTATCTTGATATCGGCCCTCTTCATCGTAAAGTGTGCAAAGAATCATATCCAGTTTACCATCTGCCTGCAACATCAAAACTTACAATAACAGTCTAAAAGTGTTTACGTTTCTTTGTGTGTGTGTCTGTTACCGAATTCGCACTTGCTCCAGCCAATGTCTTAAGCCCAAATTTTGCATAGCCCATGCTACCAGCATGCAAGTCCACCATTTCTAAAGGCAGAGGCTCGGCAGAATGACAACTTTGGAATTTTCATCGCTCTCGGTTCCCTTGGACGAACTAAGTCTAAGGCCCCGGACAGACTTTACGCGATTTGATCGTCGCGACTGAATCGCGACGTGACAACTGTTACAACATCATTCCATGCCATCAACTTGCATTTCGGTTGTGATACTTTTCCAGCCCGAAATTTTTGAATGTGAAATGAAAATGAATGGAAATCTCGACGATTGAGTCGCGACGATCAAATCGCGTGAAGTCTGTACGGGGCCTGAGATGTGTTTTGCAGCTTCAAATGATATCAGTAACCCGCTTTTCCAGACGTGAAAAGTGGTATTTGGGCGGACCGCGTATCCTGCTCTCTAGAGCGCAATTGGCTTGTGTGTGGAGACACCGCACCTACCGTACCCACGAGCAAATCGCGCTCGAGGACAAACATACGCCGTCCCAAATAGCACTTCAAACTTCTGGAAAAACGGGTTATTGATATTTTTTGAAGTTGCAAAGCACAGTCTTGTACTTAAATGGGAAGTGTCACAGATCGCAGTGACCGTTTTAGACGGAATGGGTGGTGTGACACGTCACTCGGAAGGGCATTTCCAAAACCACCCTCGCTAGCTTCAGAACAACTCTGGGAGGGGAGCTACGGGCGTTTTTCCGCTCGAGACCCAGCGCGTCTTGCTCGAATATGACTGTCACCCTCAGCCTCCAGTGACAATGTGGTGTGGCAAGTGTGCTGCATATCGTGCGAATGTTTGGAGGTTCGAATCCTCTGTTGAACAGCTTCTTCGCAATTTATATACAAACTCCTAAAATGTGTAGATTAGCCACCAAAACGTGTTTTACCTCTTTAGTGGTGCTTAAAAGCAAAAAAAGCACACCATGATATCTTTCTTGAAAAGAATGTCAAATACAGTGAAACTATGCGGGAGAGCACTAGTAACATGCGGAAATGAAAAATTTGAACGAAATGAGCGCCAGACGCAGACTCGCGAAATTCGCTAAATCGACAATAAAGTTTTATCTAATTTATCTAATTGCTTTACCACGCGTACAGGAGGTCTTCGCAATAAAAACACATTTTCTACTTTTAAGCACCAGTAAAAGGATAAACGTTTTGGTCGCGAATCTACACATTTTAGGAGTTTGTATATAAATTGCAAGAAAGCTGTCCAACGGAGGATTCGAACCTCCTACCATCCGCACGGTAGTCAGCACACTTGCCACGCCACATTGTCACGGGAGGCTGAGGGTGGCAGAGAAACGCCCGTAGCTCCCCTCCAGAGTTGTTCTGCAGCTAGCGAGGGTGGTTTTGGAAATGCCCTTCCTAGTGACGTGTCACATCACCCATCCCATCTCAAAGGGCCACTGCGATTTGTGACACTTCCCTTGTTAGGTCATCCATGGGAACCTAGTACGATGAGTATCCCAAATATGTCATTCAGCCACGCCGCTGCCTTTAGGCTGCGTTCATACTGATTCCCATGTTCTGGAACTGTTCCCGCACAGTTCTCGCACTGTGCTGAAACTGTGCGGGAACTGTGCGGGAACAGTTCCAGAACTGTGCTGCATGCGCTGCAGCCGCCCCGCACCGTTTTGAACGGCGGGAGTTGGAGAATTTTGACCGTTCTCAACGGTTTTTCTTCCAGATTTCGCTCATTTTGGCCTTAATCCTCCACCCCGCTTCCCTTTTTGATCAGCAGCACTGCGAACTCGAAGCGGGGTTGAAGAATGAGCGCTTTTCTGCGCCGTGTATTCGGAAAGATGGGCTATCGTGCGACTGTTCATTCTGTCTTCTTGTTTTTTGCTCAAAACTACTTCATTTGTTCCAGGAAGCGGCTGCTCAGTTTCCATAGCCATCTGCCACAAATTAGGGAGTAGGAGAAATCCTGAAATTGCATGAGTTGGGACTTGTCTCTTGTTTTTCATGATTTTGGGCCTTCTTAGCCTTGTTCGTTTTTCCATGTCGTTGCTTCTCCGTTCTTTCTTCTACCCGCTTCTCCTAGTGATGAGAAAAGCTGTGAATTTGAAGCGGGGTGGAGGATAAAGCCAAAATGAGCGAAATCTGGAAGAAAAACCGTTGAGGACGGTCAAAATTCTCCAACTCCCGCCGTTCAAAACGGTGCGGGGCGGCTGCAGCGCATGCAGCACAGTCCTGGAACTGTTCCCGCACAGTTCCCGCACAGTTCCCGCACAGTTTCAGCACAGTGCGAGAACTGTGCGGGAACAGTTCCAGAACATGGGAATCAGTATGAACGCAGCCTTAAGCACGAGCGGATCCGAAAAGCGACTCCCTGAAATTGCCCGCTAAGCGAGTGCACGCGGCTTTCTGCGAAGTCATGGATTTTATCATGGATTTTCAGATTTAAGGATTCGACGCAAAAAATTGTCTCAATTTTACTCTCACACAACAACGGCACCAAATAGGCCAGTTAAATGAATTTTTGATTTTTGAGCGTCTTACTCAAGAAACTGAAGAGACTTTTGCTTACAAGGAAAGGATACTTGGTGACCGTGGCCCTTAGCAATATGATGTATACCAGTAGATGCGCCTTGAAACGCTGATTTCAAGTCTATGTTCACTATCTGCTGTGCAACTCTCTGAACGCAAATTATGGACTTTTTTGCTTATCGATTTTACGAGTAAGCAGTCAGAGTCGTCAGTATCCAGGCTTTTTAGTCTCTGATATATCAGAGACAGTTTTCCTGAGCTTAACGTAAAGTTTACTTCATTTGGAGACTCTTTTTTAGTGCGTAAGCGAATATTCTAACGATATTGGTGAATCCTGCATCAAAAACAACGCGAATTTTGGTGGCAAGAAATGTTCATAACATCTTTCGAAAGAGCGCACAGCAGATACCGAAAGCAGATTTGGAATCAGCGCTTCAAGATACATCTAACGGTGTATGCTTCATTTCAAAAGGCCACGATCATCAAGTATCCTTCCCTTGTTAGTAATGTAAGCAATACGTTTATTTCGCAACAGTTGGCAAATGATTAGCAATTCACTAGGTAGTCGAAGAAAAAGTGTGTACCCTTTAACTGCAACAGTTTTTTCATTCAAATTCACCCTTTGCTATAGCAGAGCAACTGGAAGAGCGTATTTCATTTGTAAGGTTGGCATCATTCGGTAATTATTGCTAGCTAAGACTGTGAGGAGAGCAGGACTTCGGAAGCGTTGAACAGGAGCCCCTATGCATAAATGTTTTAGCCTCCATCGTAAATGATTGTAAATGTGCTCTCATGTACATCAGCCTCAGCACTTCCCCACGGAAGGACTGGTAGAGCGCACGATTTTGAACTACTGCAGTATTCACCCTTAAAAATCTTTGGCACACACCGAAAGTGGACGCAGCGAACATACTCAGACAGTCGAAGGGATACCTCCGGCGGGCAAATGGTGCGAGTCTGCTACTTCGCGCTCTGGAGCGCTCCAGAGCCCTGCCATTTCACGCATTTTGGTGCTCCGGGGCTCTCCCAAAGTGGCGCACCTCCGGAGCAGAGCTATGCGCGTCCCGGAGAGGGTACCATTCGTTCACCGTGACGTCACGATGACATCACAAGCAGGCGCAAAGTCGACGATTACCACTTTCGCATGGCAGTTGTTCTGATAGTAGCTCTTCGGATTTCATTCATACTAGTCGGCATTATCCATCGGTGGCAGATTCCTTGTAGGGCGAAAATGGAAAGCACATGGACAGAGAGCCAGGCCTTTGCGAAGCAGAGATGACGCACTGCTATTGGACACAGCTGTATGAACTCGCTTCTTTGTGGACCAGGAGATATGAGAATTCTATTGAACCATTGCTGGAGTAGTCAAAATCATGATCTCCCAACCAGGGTCAAGCTTGCGATGCGACTGTCGCAACGGGGGGTCGTAAGAGGGTATCTAAGGTGGAGGGTGGGGGGTCTTAAGAAAAGGTAGTTAGGCTACTACCCTACCCTAGGCTCCAAAGGAAATCAAAAAACAGGCAATTAATTATGTTTTTTACAATAAATCTATAAAAAAGTGGAAAGAATAAAAAAGATAAGAAATCTGCAGAAATTCTCTAAAAAAAACATTTACAAGAGCTCAAAACACTTTTGAAGGATGTATGATTTGATAAAAAGGCTAAATGTACCGATTGCTCTAGAAATCTTGCTTCTGAAGCCTTCCTGAAGTCTCACACACTCGACAAAAGCGAATGTCTTTATCATCTGTGACCATCATAAAATTCTAAATCTTTTTACAATATTTTTCACGGGCTCTTGTGATTTATCTGTACTTTCAAAATGCTTCGTTATATCAGTGCAAAATTTTAGTGTTATTTTGTCAACTGTGGATTTTCTTATGATTTTATGTATGGTAGCAAAAAGCAGGAAAGGGGGGTCGTATCTGGGTCGCATCTAAATTTCTTCGGAGCTATTGAAGCTTGTTGGCTGTAATTCTGCTGTAATATGAGGCCATCCTCCTACTTTCCCTCATAGAAATTGCAGGCTGTTTTATAACTTCTCTGGTAATTTACAAAATTTTAAGCTCAAAAATCCCAGTTTTTGCTTTTTAGGATCGCATCTAAATTTGCGAGAGTCGCATCTAAATTTTTTCGAGCTTACTGCTCCTGAAGAGCTGAAACTTTTTCTCTGGATAGTCTGGGCACTATACTACAGAACCTGTGCTTTGCAGCCTCTCAGTCTTTTTCTGGCCTTGATTACGAATTTTCAAACTACCGTGCTCATGCAAGTTTTTGACGTCGTTCTGGACGGCGTTCAAGCGGTTTTTTTCGCGGGAAAAACTGTGGAAGAGGTAGGAAGTAAACTCTTCTTAGTCGAAAACATCTTTTATAGTTCAAGAATGTCATTCTTCTCCCCGTGCAAAAATTTGTGTCACTTACGGGAATCGAATTTGCTGGTCTGAAGTATGCCTGAATATTCAAAAAAAAAATTGCAGTTTTTCAAACATTGTTAAGGTGTGTATGTATGCTAGAGATGCTGGACGCACCCAATGGCCTAGAAATTCTGCTTCCGAAACCTCACCGAAGTTCTCACGCAGGTGTTTTTTGAGATTGACATTCGTTTATGCAGGTTACGGCGAGGAATGTGGGCAGGGGAGGTAAGGGGGATAAATGGGGGAGGGTGGAGGGGAAAGGGGGGGGGTCGTACGGATGGGTACCTTCAAGGGGGGGGGGGTCGTAAATGAGGGTCCCGGATCGCATCAGCACGCTTTACCCTGCTCCCAACTCAAGTAGTAATACTCCTACTTTGTTATACGGCCTGAACATGGCCCGGAAAAGCAGCAAGCGATGAAATGAAAGGCGCAAAAGTGGCTTGGCAGAACTGAACGTCTTGAATTGATATGGCAGATTGCTTACGCAAATGTTTAAATAGAGCAAACCTGAGCGTACTGCGTGGCTATGTTTGCCAAAAAGATTGTCCCCAAATCCTTGCGCGTTAGCCACTCTTATACGCGCTTGCACGAGCTCTCGGTTTCCTCTCTACCGTCAAAGGCGCATGCCGCAACGTTATGGCCACAAGGGTCACACAACGACTCTGCGTCTCCAACCATGGTGGGAACTTTCCACTCGTCCAATTCAATTTGAAGGATCTTGAAAATTGCTGGTAAAGGGTATTCGTCGACGACTGCCCCGACTCGTGCAATTACACCACGTGGGGCATGCCTTATTGGGGCCTTTCCAGCTTGACAGTGCTGCAGCGCGCGGGGACTTGGTAGCTCGCAGTATCCCTGTCCTTTCCTACTGTGTAGTCGGAAATACTCCAAAAAAGCACGCCCACGGTGGTGTTAATTTCACTAGTTGGGGCAGTCGTCGACGAATATCCTTTATTTGCCATTTCCGCGGTCTATAAATAGTCTATAGCAGCTTACAAAATGCTTTCTTAGGCCCGTATGCACCATCCCTGCGGCGAAGAGAGCGCGTTCCTAATGATGAAAAAGCAGCAGCGGCACCCGCCTGCGTTCTTTTCAAAGCTAATCTGTTGGTTCCAGATTTTTGGCGGTACACCATTCCATATTAATTGGACAGAAGTTTATTCAAAGCTCGCCCATAAGTATGAAATAGCCCTGCATACGGAGCAAATGAGCAGCGCAAAAAAACGATGTCGGATTATTGGCGTTGCCATCCACACGGAATAATTTGCCAGACGTTGATCTATATCACCAAATGGGGCTCATGCGTATCTTCACGTTCAACATTAATACTTTGAACTCTTAAAGTTTTTAGGTTGTTTTGCAGAAAAGGGAAGGTTTGGAATCAGCGTTCTTTTGGTGTGCCAGATCAAGTTGGTATTTTTCTCTTTTAGACCGCTACGCTGATTTTGTCTTGAAAGCCACAGACGTTGAAGATTTGTTCGGGTGTCCATTTGTCACCCCAGCCTTCTCCCAACGATCTGCTATTTCACTAAAACTCTAGTTGGCGAAGTGGGATGTCCACAAGAAGGACAAGCACTTTTTAGTTTTAGCAGTCTTAGCATTAGAACTACTTCCTGCAAAGCAAGTTTTACAAAAAAAAACGCTGTGTTTTGTAGACAAGCGGGTGCGCTGATTGTTGTTTTCTTTTGCAGTCCGCTTGCCAATATTTTTAAGAGTGATGGCACTTTTTAGACGATGGCCATAATGCAATCGTTGCTTGTTAATAGCCTTGTCGGGGGCGCACTGACCGCATGCCCGGGCAGATTTCTTGCGAGCACAAAATTGTGAAGGATTGGGCGTAATTTTTATCAAATAACGCTCGACTTCCGACAACTTGGAAAGTAGCTTTCAGGTAGCATCCGACAAGCGGATATTCTTTATTCAATTTGCTACCCTGCTGCAGACCGACAAATTAGCGGCTTATCATGAGTCATAACCTCTCGCTGAAGGTTAGGCCACGCCCCAAAATCTGAGTGAAAGCTGACAATAAAGAGCGAGTTCGCAATACAGTGCCCACGGCGATTGCCTGAATTTTTCCAATCTGGCGCACTTACCGATATAAACAAGAGCGCAGGAACAATGGCATGCGCTTTGTAACGTGAGTATGACGTACAGGATTGTCTATGTGCTTAAGAATGTCGCATATGTACAATAATTGACCACTCAGATAATCGCCGGGGGCAGGCGGTCCGCAAATTCGCACTTTTCTGCAGGCGGTCAGCAGAATTTTGGGGCGTGGCCAAACCTTCAGCGGGCGGCACTTCCTTTACGGTCGCATATTCTGCCAGCGGGCAGCAATACAGCATTTTTTGCAAGCGCTCGGCAAATAATTTCTTTCAGCGGGCGCTTGCTGAAAGTTTGGCCAGCGCTCGCTGGAAGATATTATGTGACGAGCGCTCGCAGAAAATTCTGTATTGCTGCCCGCTGGCAGAACGCGGAAGTACCGCCCGCTGAAGGTTTGGCCACGCCCCAAATTTCTGCTGACCGCCTGCAGAAAAACGCGAGTTTGCGGACCGCCTGCCCTCCGGCGATTAGGCGATTATCTGAGTAGTTTGTCGCTTTAAAGCACTGCTAGCACAACACGATTTTCATCTTATGGCAATGCACTCTCACAAAATGAGCAGCTGTTTGGGACACTGCTTCTGGCTCAATCTTTTGCTTTTTCGATCTTTGTTTGGTTCACCTTGCATGGACATAGCTGTCACGAAGCGAGCTTGCAGGCCATGAGTCTGTGAATGTTTACAACGCGAGTGAATTCTTGTGGAGTAATGGGGCGTTTCGGGACTGTTTGGTTACAAAAAGGGGAAGTTTTTGAAAAGAACTGTCAGTTGATGATGTCAGTTTCCTAAGTACAGCATTAGAGACTCTATTTTCTGCATACATAAGCACAATATATCTAGCTGCGTTTGGAGTTTTGTGGCATTCTTACCTCTGTGATTCTGACAAGAAAATCGCCGTTTCGTTGTAATAGATAACGCACATCCTCCCTAGGTAACCATCCATGATAATAGTCTAGCTTCACAAGTTTGGGGTCAAACTGAAGACTCATTGTCAGTGTATTCAAAGCTGCCGACATTGCATCTGCGATATCGAAGATCGCGGAACACACATTGTCGCTGGGAGGTATGTCGTCCATGTGCTGGCATGTAATAATAGTATAAAGTGAATAAATGAGAGGACTCATCCTTATATACAGATGATAAGTGCTTTGTTTATTGAAAATCATTAAAACCCTTGCACGTTTTGAAATGAAGTAAGCGGTAGTAGTGCTTGGACATGGCATCATTTTTCTCATTCAGCAAAGCTTAAGCTCACAATCTAATTCGCCAAGACTACTTGAAGTATCCTTTTGTCTACGTCAGGACATGTTGATTGCTAATTTAACGCAGTCTGAGTTCGATACCTGCTGCAATGCGTAGACTTGTACTGCGGTAACCGTATGAAGGTAGAATTACGATTGCGAGTTTGTGAATTCATGGACGATACACTATGGTAGTTGGCAAGATAAAACATTTAGATATAACAATGCGAGAGCAACTTTCTGATCTATTGATGTAGGCTGGAAGAAAGAGCTTATTTGTATACCAGCCAACGGTAACATTTAAGAATGCCATCTGAGATGAAACAATGCAGCACCAATGCCGCAGAGCATTTGTTCGCAGTTTTATACGCCAGGAGTGAAGGTACGCAACCATTTCTTGAGTTATGTCTGGCGTATCAATGACGACCCAATGAACGTCTACGAACGGCTTTGAAAGGAGTGTGAGACTGCGGAAAGCGCGCCTCAGTGACTATTACGAAGAACTTGGAACGCATTTTGAAGACACCTACTGCTCGAAAAAAGAAAAGCTTTAAGGCATAATCATGCAACCCACCTCGAACAACTGATGGCCAACTTCAGCTGCATCTTGAAAAGTGCTGAAGAGATTCAAGTACCGTTGGCAGCGCTGCTAACGAAACAAGACTACGAATTTTTTTGATAGAAAATAGGAACTTTCGCAAAAAATTTCTACACCAACCTTTTCCGTTTATCAACACGTGCTAATACCTGTTGTGTTGCTCCCACTGGAGAAATACCATTACGGATTTAACGTGCTGAAGCGAAATGCGCACCGTGATTCAGACCATAAAGATTTCCACGACCTGGAGGACAACGTCCACACGCCTACACGAGGCTCTAGCTTCGTATTTAACATTACACCTCTAAAAAAAAGACTTCCAACCAGTAAAAACTCAAAAACCGTGCTTTTCTTTCCAAGAGAGGCATACGGAAGGATCTCTGGAACTGCGCTTTCATATGCCTTATTGTTCTGTACACGCTTTCAAGGAGGTTATCCCTCTCTCAAATATGGGACATTGAATAAAGCCAAGCCTTAGTCTAAGAACTGGTTGGATTTCGCAAACGATTTAGCAGCGCGGTCCACATCCAAACGACGATCTCGATGTTCACATAAATTTGCCGGAAGTACCGTTTGCGCCTCATCTTGACCTTAATCGACTTTGAGAAAGCCTTTAGCAGAGTTAAAACCAATGCCATCTTATCAGCGCTGCTTAATCAAGCAGTGGATCCAGCTTGCGTGAGAACATTAGCTGACGCTTAAATGCTGTGCAACGAGATGCAACTATTTCATCGCTCCCTGACTATCTCTGGGAAAGAGGTCCGACAAGGCGAAGGAATCTCGCCGAAGCTGTTTACCGCGGTCTTGCACTGAGTGGAGTCATTGAAGTGGGACGGTGCGGGGGAGATTCCTTTCGAACCTCCACTTTGCGGGACATCGCTCCTTTTCGAAATGTATCACTGAAGTAGAGAAGTGGTGAAGGAATTAAACGAAGTAGGAAAAAAGATCGGTTGCGAATAAATTGCAAGAAGACTCCGTTTCTGAGGGAATCCTTCGCAAAGATGCGGAAATGGAAATGGAAGACACTTTATTTGTGTAGACTTCTTTCAGTGTGTCTTGGACGTTTGATGAACATGGAAAACGACTTGAGAGAAGAATTTAACATTGGAGGAAGAGCAGCCGGGGCCACCCTTGAGTCTCCGAAGGAAGGCACTAATCAGCCGACGGACTTAGAGCTTTGTGCACACTTGTTTGGCTCGGTCGCTCTCCCGGCGCTCTGCTAGCTGAGACGTAGGCCGATACAACAGTCAAGTCGAAAGCTTTACGTACCACATAGCGTTTAAGTGCAGTCTTTTGAAAGTCAGCCGACACAAGCAATACCTCATCTGATTTCGCAGTACGGTTATAAAAAAAGTCTCGTCTTGTTATTCAGCGGAATAAGTTGCGAAAGCGAGGCAGCGATTGGATGAGACATGTTCGTGGAAGAATTAGCTGAGAAATTAGCATTTACGATTTTTACATCTGGAACTCATGGACACACCCACCGACGACAACCGAAAAGATTATGGATGTTTGAAGGGGACAGGGACAGGTTCTGGAAACTTCTATACTGCGTCCTGTAGTCACGTGAAGACGGGACATGCAAGCGTCTGTGAAATCATAACTTGTCATAATAAAGTTCAATCAGCTCAAACCACGCTAAGACTGCTTCGCTTTTATTGTTTCAATTGTTGGCGGCTTCAGATCGAAAATTGATACAGTGTATGACAGACATCTTTCTATTTATACACAGTATGAAGCCCCGACACAGTTCCTCATCTAATTTACGAGGAGTATAAGGCTGTCCGAAGTGTAAACCGTATTTCTAAATAAATCAAATTGTACTTGCTTCCCTGGCAGACTTGAGGCACCATTCGATAGAGCGAAGCAAATTCTACAAAATGACCACCAAAAAAACGTCTAAGTCTCGATTCAGGTAAAATTTGGATCCAAAAATCAAAATCTTTGGGACTCTAAAAATCGAATCTCTTTCCGGAAATTCCTACGGATAGCACCAAAAATGTTTTTGGCTTGATTTTTTCCAAAGCTTGATTGAGAATTGAGTTGAAAAGGACCATCTTTGTTCCTCAACAAAATTGAGGAACAAAGATGGTCCCAAAAGGCCAAAATGTCCCTTTTTTCAGGTTTTTCATGTAAAACTTGGTATTTCTCGATTATAATAGCACGTACAGGATGAAGTTTCAAGATTATGCTTAGTAAGGCTTGTAGTATACAATGACATACGTGCGAGGGGCTGAGGGCGAAGTTTGCCATTTTCAGACTGTCTCTTTTTTCTCTTTACTCTCTTACTCTTCTCTAAAATAAACCTTTACTAAATTTTTTCCGAGCTTTCTAAGCCCGGGAAAAATCCAGTAAAGACATATTGGGTACTATCAATGTGTCTACTGTATAATGACTATGTTTGAGTTCCGTACAGTTATTCTTCGCAGGAATCCAATTTTCAGTTAATAAATTTTTTTCCTATTTTTGATCCAAACTTTATCTGGATTACGACATAGACGGATTTTGCGGTCATTTTGTACAGCTTGCTTCGCTCTATCGAATGGTACCCCAAGTCTGCCAAGAAAACAAAAACATTTTCATTTATTCCGAAATACGGTTTACTTTTGGGACAACCTAACATAATATAACTTCACAGTGCGTATGAATAGCAAAATAATTCTCGCGCAGAGACTGAAGAAAGCAGGCTTCTGAATCCATCACTGAAAACTATTACGAGAGTAGAACATGCATAAACTTTGCTCTAAGTCGTACTCAAACACCTTGCTTTATCTTACTTATTTACTAGTACTTTGAAGTGCATTAGAAAAAAATATTTAAGGCGACAGCCACCACATCGGTCCTACTGGGAAAGAAACACATGTGCGCTTTCAGCGAGATATTCCACACAAAAAATGGTTTATGTTTGTGAAAAGTAAACTGTAATCAGAACTTGCTTACAATAATCGTTACTTAAACATGGTTAAGAGCTGTACGTGTTCTACCAATACACTACCAGGGGGAAGGTGTATAGCACATACAAAATTATGTGCACCTGCTCGTTTTATACCACTGTGATAACTTTGAAACACTGTCACAAAGTCTGTTCCTTTTTTCTTGTCTTTGGTCCTAAAGTGCGGTTCATAATTATACGAACACCCAAAATTTCGTAAGTTTTTGGACTTTTTGAAAGAATCTCAAAAAGCCGTTGGTACCACGCGATAGAACACAGCCGAAAACGTTATATGATCCATAAGAATGGAAATCCATGTCAATTGTGGGAGTGTTTTTGCGCCTGATGCGAATTTTTAGCGGTTCATAATTATACGAACACCTCAAACAAAGGTCCATTTTTCATTCAAGATTGCAATCATTTGAGTCCAAGTTTTTTGTAGAGTTACAGTAACAAAGTCTGACATATCTGCTACACACTGAACCCAGTGCAGTTCAAAAAGAGGACCGTTACTTTTTTCAGAAGGCTTTAAATGCTTCTGGAGTGATTGCGCACCAAAAACATCCGTTCTTCTGCGGTTTACACGCTCTAATTGGCTTCTACCAAAGCTATGAAATAAAATAAGCTCTTTCGATAGGTATTTTGTTTGACGCTTGGAAAATCTTTGCGTTTGCGTGCCGTTTTCATTGTACGGCTTCAGAAGCTGAGTTTTGAGGTTCGAAATCGTGCTAAATCTAAAGTAAGATTGGAACTTGATAGTGTGTAGAAGTTCACAAGACTGTATATTTGGCTAGAAAAAATCAGCAGCGTTGAGCGTTTGCTTTGGCCACGCAGACGTCATTTCACCAAAACCACTGTTTTTACTATTGCAGTCACACCTTTATTTGGTTTGTAGCTCCACAGGCTCAAGATCAGTTCTACAAAAAACCCAAAAACTTTGGCACAGAAACATCATCATGCAAACAATGCAGCTGCTTGTTACTGTAACTCTACAAAAAACTTGGACTCAAATGATTGCAATCTTGAATAAAAAATGGACCTTTGTTTGAGGTGTTCGTATAATTATGAACCGCTAAAAATTCGCATTAGGCCCCGGACAGACTTCACGCGACTCAATCGTCGCGATCTTATCGCCAAGATTTCCATTCATTTTCATTTCACATTCAAAAATTTCGGTCTAAAAAGGTATCACAACCGAATGCAAGTTGATCTGCATGGAATGATGTTGTAACAGTTGTCTCGTCGCGATTCAGTCGCGACGATCAAATCGCGTGAGGTCTGCCCGGGGCCTTAGGCGTAGAAACACTCCTACAATTGACATGGATTTCCATTCTTATGGATCACTAGCTGGCTTACCCGGCTCCGCCGTATCCGGACCAAACTTGGCACACATACACTTCGGGCCCCGGCGGGTGTCACAGTCCACTTTTCGTTATCGATCGATGTCGATTTTACCGATTTTTATCGATTTTTTTGCAGAGTTCACCTACAGGGCTAGGAGTTGGCACAGGGGGGGGGGGGAAGTGAGCATGGGGATTCCGAATACAACATTAGTTTTCAGGATCGTCCATTACTTTTATCGATTTTATCGATTTTTTTGTAAAGTTCGACCTGCGGGGCTGGGAGTTTGCACAGGGGGGTAATCGAGCATGCAGATTACGAACACAATATTAGTTTTCAGGATCGTCCATTACTTTTTCGATTTTATCGATTTTTTGAAAATTTGAGCTAGGGGGCTGGAATTTGGCACAGGAGTGTAATCGAGCATGCTGATCACCCCCCTTGGGAGTGATCAGCATGCTCGATTACCCCCCTGTGCCAACTCCCAGCCCCCTAGCTCAAACTTTGCAAAAAAATCGATAAAATCGATAAAGGTAATCGATAATCCCGAAAACCAATATTGTTTTCGGAATCCCCATGCTCGATTACCCCCCTGTGCGAACTCCCAGCCCCGTAGCTCAAACTTTGCAAAAAATCGATAAAATCGATAAAAGTAATCGATAATCCCGAAAACCAATATTGTATTCGGAATCCCCATGCCCGATTACCCCCCTGTGCCAACTCCCAGCCCCGTAGCTCAAACTTTGCAAAAAAATCGATAAAATCGATAAAAGTAATCGATAATCCTGAAAACCAATATTGTATTCGGAATCCCCATGCTCGATTACCCCCCTGTGCCAACTCCCAGCCCCGTAGCTCAAACTTTGCAAAAAAATCGATAAAATCGATAAAAGTAATCGATAATCCTGAAAACCAATATTGTATTCGGAATCCCCATGCTCGATTACCCCCCTGTGCCAACTCCCAGCCCCGTAGGTGAACTCAGCAAAAAAATCGATAAAAATCGATAAAATCGATATCGATCGATGACGAAAAGTAGCCTATGACACCCGCCGGGGCCCGTAGTGTATGTGTGCCAAGTTTGGTCCGGATCGGTTCAGAAATGGAATTTTCTATTCGGAACATACGTACAGACATACAGACAGACAGACATACTAACAGACATTCAGCTTTATATATAAGATATACCGTTTTCGGCTGTGTTCTATCGCGTGGTACCAACGGCTTTTTGAGATTCTTTCAAAAAGTCCAAAAACTTACGAAATTTTGGGTGTTCGTATAATTATGAACCGCACTTCATCTTCTTAAATTTCTCGCGCCTTTCTTCCCTTTTAACGCGTGTATTTTTGGAGCAGAAAATGTGCTTCTGCGTCAACGGTAGCAAATGGGCTAGAACAACCACATGTTATTAGCTCGCAAAACGATTTCAAATTCGAACACCAGTGTCTGCTTTCAAACGTTAATCGCCACATTAATACATCAATGACATCTGGGCTAAGCGGAGTGCAACATCATTGACTGCTTTGGCATAGTACCACATTATAGTTTTTAATGAGTTGTGATTATGAGTATTATATAACAATGGATCGTAGACCAGTGAAGCAACCAATGACAAGGTACGCAAAAGTTTGGAGACACAGTATCCTTGTTTGCAAAAGTTTCCATAAAAGTGCGAAATCGTTATTTACATACCCTTTGATTCAACTGGCCGGCTGGAATGCAGGGCTTCATGACCTATTCAAGGCTAGATAATGATCAGAGAGCACGCGCTCGACAGAGACGCAGACTGCGTCGCGGGCGCGAACGGCCTTGTATAGGTTACAAAGCCCCGCCTTCCAGTCGTCAAGCCGGTTGAATCCAAGGCTAGTACGCAGCTTTTTCAAAATCATTCATTTGCCATTTGCCAGAAGCAAGCCATTTTCCTCCTAATGATGTGGACGAAGTTGTAGCGCATAAAATGATGGTTGTGCCTTGACCTGCTCCTGAACACGAGACCAGGTCTAGAAAAGTGGTGGGATTAGGAATCTCACATTTGCGAAAAGCAAATAGCTTTGATTTCTCTGTAGCGCCTTACATAACCGGCTATACAATTTGCGATGTTTTTTCAGCTTCATAGTAATCGACTTCGAGGAATGCGGCAAGACCCTTCGCCAGGAAGGTCAGCATATTTGCAAAAATTCGAAAATATCCTATATTGTAGTATTGTTCTTCTCCCTCAAAATATTTATAGTACATGGCTGCTTGGCTAACATAAGTAGCAGTTTGACCTATGCCGTAAACTTGATGCATGAACTGGTGAATGGCTTCCGCCAGTAGCACAAGTGTTAGCTCATCGGTAACACTGAATATCACTCGATTTGATGCAGTGTCCGTGTAAGAAGTCGATTGTGAGGTTTTTTTTATAACTGGGCCTTTTGTTTGCTGAATCGACAATCACACTGGAGTGCGCGAAAACGGCGAAAAAAGGCCCTAAGCTCACTTTTGACTTCCTGCCCGGACATTGCCATTGATTATGGAGTTCATATCGCCTCCAGCATATGGTGCATTTTATGTTTGCGAGTTGAAAGCATTTTTACGCTTGGAGGAAACGCTCTTATTCTATCCAGGAAAAAATCAATCAAAAGAATTAAAATCGCGCCAGATACTGCCAGATACTTTATTGATGCAAAAATTTAACTTTATGCGACTATCCGCATAGTCCACCAGATCCGCATGGCCCAGCGCCAAGAGTGTAGCATTCGGAGCATACATGGCCAACATTGTAAATCGGCTTGTTGATAACATTCCCGCTAAAGCACAGACATAAGATTGGTTTTGAGACAAAGAAATTAACGCATGCACATACTTTGGGCGATAACGACATGATTGTAGGTATTCGTTGCCGCATTTAGCAATCGAGCAACCAATTTCTCGAGTTTGAGCCCAGGCCATCTTAAAATGGAAAACTTCCACTTTCCGAGACTAGGCGTGAAGCTTAATGTTGAGACTTACTCGAGTGTAGGATTCTACAGGAGTGTCGATGAGTGAAGCGGTGTAATCTGCGCTCAATCCGGGATTAGGATAGTTTTGGTAAACATCCCACCATTGTTTGAGGATCTGAAGATTAAGCTGCAATGCTTTACGTGCAAAAAACCGATGTCCACCTTTTTGCTCGTTTCCTTGAAAGTAGATGAGTTACCGCTTATAGTAGCACGATAGAAATTTTCCATTGGACCTAAGCAAGTTGGGTTTTTGTACGCTTCCTTGGGACATGTAGCTAAATAATCGTGTGCTTCCTTCTCCAAGGCACAAGACCATATCTGCAATTTGCCATTTTGCATCCGATTACTCATAATTGCTAACATGATCAGCGTAGTGAAAACCAGAAGCTTTTTATAGACTGACTAGACGATTCATATTGGTTGCGGAAGGAAACGACTGTCCGTCGTATTTGAGTTGTCCACTTGCCAACTGTGCTCTGAACGTAGCCTTTCTAGAGAAACAAGATGAAAAAGTACTTGTAAAATAAATAAATTACTTGAGAATAAAAGGTGAAAAGCCACTAAATATGTTATTGGTATACAAATTTAGGCTAGCTGAGTTTTTGTTTTCATACATTGGAAATTTGTTGCTTAAGCATTATTGAATGCAGGTCTTTTTTAACGCAGCAGGAAAGTGGAGTTTTGCAATTTCGCAACACGCTGGCTGTGTGCCAAGCACGAGGGGCGGAGCTTTTGTGAGGCGCGTGCTTGGCACTGTTTTGACCATTCCGGTCTTTCGCCAGCTTAGGACCCACCCACCCACCCGAGACGGGGCTGCTGACAGATACGGAAGCGCGCCAGGATGCATTTAGGTTCTTGCAGGAATTTTGGAAGGGCGAGGCAAGGCATGGCAATGATCGAGAGGAAATGGGCAAAGTTGCTGTGTGGATTCTCATCGGAAAGGCGTTACAACGTAGAACAAGCACGACCACAAGAAGAAAGATACGTCTCATATCGTTTGTGCAGTTAAGAGCATAGCAACGCATATGTGACACTAGGTTCTACCGTCTAGTTTTGATGTCAGTCGTCCCAGGGTGTTCGAGTCATTTGCTTCTTGGAATTGATGTTCTGCATGTACTGGTAAATTAGGAGGTCGTTTCGGAGATGTTGATTGGCATTGTTCCTTGTTACATGTTATACAGTCCCGTCAGCAAGGGCAACATCATTGTTTAGGTTCTCCCGCTCCCTTACTCTCCTTCCATAATCTCATTGATCATTAGCCTACAGGGTGTTTGTTGTTCAGTTGTATCAGTGGATAATTTGTGCTGGGAGCGTTCCTATTACGTTCATAGCTGACGAATGAACCTTCACCTCCCGAAAGGGCAAAACATAGGTTTTGCCGTAGTCTATCGGAGGCAAAACTTTCATTTTTTAACATGCTTGAATTTTTATTTGAAAAAAGCCATATAGTCTCCCAAGTCGTCCAACAATACAAGATGAATGTCTTACAGTCAAATCATTTCATATGATCATGTCTGTCACTGCACATACTGTCCACCTTTAGCGTCCTCATCCCGGATTCTAGGCACAGGCAGCCCTTCTGCTAATTATTTGCGATGTTTTCTTCATGTTTTTTCTCCTTTTTAGATAATATTCTTCATAATTGATGTAGGCGATAACAATGGGCAGGGCCCGGCAGGAGGTGGCATTTCAGGATTTTGAAAACGATATCCCCTTTGAAGTCAACATTTCTTACGACTTCCCTTTTGACCCTATTTTTGGCCCCCGTAAGTCCCTGACAGTCCCGAAGTGCAAGCTGGTTGGCATGCAATGAACTCGTAACAGCTGTCTTGTCGCGATTCAATCGCGACGATCAAATCGCGTAAACTCTGTCGAGTAAGGGATCGTCCAGACCAGAAACACATTGAAAATATGGGTCTCGCTGATCCACAAAAATATTGGAGGCAATGAAGGAAAACACACAAAGAAAAAGCAAAAAATTACAAATGTACATAAACGAATGCAAAAATTCGATGTCATGTAACATATTTGCATAAATGCACCATTCCACCTACCTGAGATAGTAAGAATGAGCCGCAAATTGGTGACCTAAGTGCGACGTGCTGTAGTCGAAAATTATGACATGCATGTCATCTGAGCCGAACAATCCAATTTCTGCGTGAAATAAACTTGGCAGCGCGCACTGGCAAATCACATATCTGAAGAATGCGCAAGATACTGGATTGAAACATAGTAAGCAACATAAAGCCCCAGCCAGACTTCAACTGAACAGCCCAGAACCGCTCAAAAACACCAAAGGCCCCTTTTCACGACGCATATGTACAAGAACACCTGGCAACGCTTAACTATTTGCGGGATAGGAACTCATTCTTGGATGAGCTATCTTGAGCGAAGTCTGGCCGGGGCCTAACATACAAAAATACATGAAAATTCAAAAAAATAAACCTACTTTGAAAGATTTCAGAAGCAGCTGACTTTCGTAATTTCATATCTGAACGCTTCCACTGTAAAGAGCTGCCAATAGCCACGTTTCCATGGGATGAAGGTCCACCGACTTTACTCGACTCGATCTTGTCAAAAACATTTCCTCAACTTTTGATGACAGCATGCCTGCAACAACCAGAATAAAGAAAAACGACGAAAACAAACGACCCAAAACGAAAGTGCGGAGAACGACCACAATGCGAAAACTGAAGAAACACAATCACAAAAACAACTTTTTGTGTAGAACATCACGACCAAATATGATCTCTGGCCCTTCTGAGCCCTTGTAGGGCTCGTCGAAGAAGCAATCTATTTACAAATTGCGAAGATTGCTTCAATCAGCGATCACTAATTAAGCAAAAAGTCAAATTCTCGGAGTTTCCGCGTCGTCCGTGCAAGGCGCACCAATTGCGATTGGAGCGCGCTTTCTGAGGCCGATCATAACGCTGTGAACCCTATTTGGGGCTGTATCTAAGCGGTGCCTTGGTGGTTTTGAAAGCGAATTTGAACATGTAGTAATACTCTCGACCTAGTCCACATTTATGTAAATAAATCCGGGAAATTATGTGAAGGGAAGCAGGGAGCCACCCCAGGTGGCTCTCAGGTGGCGCGGGAGCCACCTAATTTCGAAAAACACTTACCATTTTTATAATTCACATAAGTTTTTCATAATTTTTCATACTTTTTTTGTGCTCATGGTCCTCCAACTATGCAGCAAATTTGGTGCCATATCGTTACTTGTGCATGGAAAACAAGCCTATTTTGTTGTTTTCCTCTTACAAGAATTGCGATTTGAATTCCCGCCTGCGGGCAGGCTAGCGATCGGAGCACAGAATCTTCACATTGCTGGAATCTAAGTTCATAGGACAGTAGCATCAACAAGGAATGTTGAATAAAGAATGACATGTGCATTGTTTATCGGTAAACAAAGGGGAAGTCGTATTTTGGGCTTCGGGGCTCCGCCCCGGACCCCAAAATACGACCTCCCCTTTGCTTTTTCGGGCCAAACACGATATCCAGCTTGTGAAAGCGCCACCCCCGCCGGGCCCTGACAATGGGTGAGTCTCTTGCGTTTTTGCGATTGCAGTTCCAGGACGGAGACGCCAAAGGTGAACAGTGTGTGCAGTGACACACATGATCATATGAGATAATTCGACTGTAGCTCTTCAGCAAATCGAACTGGAACAAATGAGGGCACTCGAAGCGCACTTTTTATGAAACAAACGTTGGATATTCTAAATACCAACATCTATATATTAGTACACGATATCCTCCTCACCCAGTAAAACCTGTCAAAAAATCCGCGCACTAATTCCAAGACTCATTGTCAGTTTTGTAAGCACTGCAAAGAGATTGCAGCAACGTTTATCATACTTGTGCATGCGCGTATACATAGGTCGATCCTGTCAACTATTTTACTCCATTTTGGACGGTGTAAAACTTTGACTTTTGAATCTTTCGAACATTTTCGAAACAAGTAACATATATTGTTGATGAGCATAAAGCTGTCCCGCCGAAATCATAATTGGCCGAATATGCACCGTCGTATATTGTGCATATCCATCATAAGTATTCGGAGAGTATCAGTCATGTCGCCGTGGCCGCAAATAGTATCGCGTTCTGAAAGCATTTACATTCAATGAGTTAAAAATCTCATAAACTGCTTTGAATTATATCATAGAAGTTTTAGCTGACAGTTTATTCAAGTCATACACTTGGCTTACAAGCAGAATTGAAAGAGCTGTGTTGAAGTTTTGATTCATGTCAGGAATCCTTTTGGATCTTTGACATGAAAATCGCAATCTACCTAATCACTTTTTTCGACTTCTGGTGCAAAACAAACTGCAAACTGTTACCACTTTTAATAAATAATTGTACGCGCACCTTTGGCAGTTGGCTGAGGGAATATTGCTTTGATACAAGTTGGAGTGGGTTTTGGAAATGCACATAAACCGGTTGAATCACAATAAGCACAGTCACAGCTACCGCTACCAGCTTCGTAAACCTTCTCACCTTCCTTTATGTCACTGAAACAGCAATGGTATTTTTCCTCTTCTACAGCAGAGCTTGTAGTTTTCCATCAATGTTATGTTTTTTGATGTGGTTGCTTGTCAAATCTTGGAATGTGTACGGAATCTTTGACATGGCATAGGATGCTACAGCTGATATGTGTTAGTATGTTAGTAAGCCGACCGAGGTTAGTAGATGTTTATTGTTAGTGGCGGCCTGACGTTTCGACGTGTCCGTCTTCTTCAGAGGCCTAAAGTGGTAAGAGATTTAATTTTACGTCCTACCCCACCACAAACCTCCTCCATATCCGACCAGCCTCGACTTTACCCCCCAAAGTGTTACAAGCAAAAATACGCAAGCACGTGAAAGACGAACCAACCTCCTCCGCCGCTGCCGCCCAGATGTTAGATGCGGCCGTCCTTCGTGCCACTAGTAGTAATAATGAATACAGTGTAAACTATATTGACATTATTCACTAGTGGGACTCTTCAACTCACATAATGCCATAAAGGGCATAAAGTCATTCGTGATTGATGGACACTCATTTCGGCTGTTCATGCATGGGTTTCTCGCGAAAATCCAGAATGCCTCGAGAGCTTTTCTGCTAGCAGTATCGTACTCGTATGCCAGTATAGTACATTTGATTTCGAAGTTCTTACCACGATGAAATTCAACTCTGTGTTTACCGAGTGGTGTGGTAAGACTTCCCCGTCTTTTGCTGGCAAGATGTTCTTTCATCCTTACCCATAGAGGCCTTCCAGTCTCTCCGATATAAGTGGCTTTGCATTCGATGCATGTAATCTCATAGATTACACCGGTCTTACCACAATCGCCAACTTTACCGGATGGACAAACTACACAGTCTTGGATTCTGCAGTAGTTGTCATATAGTCTGTTACGCACTAGCCGCTTCCTGATGTTGTCACTTGGAATATCAACTAAAATGATATCGTCTTTCAAGTTTGCACGGTTAATGCATCGTCGCACTGCAGCACTAGTTGCGTCAGAAACGAAAGGAAGGCAAAGAGGTATTTTCTGTTGGTGCTGGTTGCTTTGAATAGAAATGGATGGTCCACCGCGTCTTTTTTGGTGCGCGTAACCATTCATTCGAGCAATGTCCAGCGCCCATCTTTGGGATTCCTTCCGTTCTTCTTCTCCTGTGCATACGTTCGTTGCTGTTTTGAACATGTTACGAATAACAGCTCTTTTAACAGCGATCGGATGTGCAGAACGAGCATTAATTAAGATGTTCTTGGAAGTCTCCTTACGATACCATTTTACAATCGCAGCGCCGTTGAACAGTTTGATCTGTACGTTTAAGTAGGGGAGCCAACCACTTCTCGGTTGCTGACGCGTGAACTTTATGTACTGTGACTGTTGATTAAGTAATCGAAAACACTCATCCATTTCGGATTGTGTTGATGTTATGACGCAACAGTCATCAATGTAACGGCAGTACATAAGAGGCATTCGTGACAGCACTGGTTCTTCTATTCTACTCATGAAGCAAACCGCCAGAACTGGAGCTAGTCTTTGTCCCATTGCAAGACCTCTTAGCTGTGTATAGTATGTTCCTGACCATCTAAAGATGTTAGAAGAGAGACATTCTTTGATCAGGAGCATAACCGATCTTTTACTCAGCCCGAAAGTCTGGATCTTTTCACCAAAGTTGTCCAACATTTCCGAAACTGCCTGCAGAGCATCGTCGTTTTGAACATTCGTGTACAAAGACACGACGTCAAAAGACTCTGCCACACATTGCGTTTGCAAAGTGGTGTTATGGAGGCGTTCCAAGAAATGATTCGTATTGGTCAAATGAGACGGGACTTTGTCCAGTAGCTGGTTAACAATCTTGTTTAAGAACCAGGATATTCGGTCGGTAGGTCCCCCTACGCAACTTATGATCGGTCTTATTTTCAACTGTTCCGCCGTTAAAATGCGCGCGTCATCAGCAGCGGTCAGTTTATGGGTTTTAACAAGACTATAAAAGACCGGGCACTCTGGTGTTTCTAACTTCAGTCTGCTGAGAAAGCTCTCGGGAAAGCCAGCTGCTCTTCCTACATCCACCCAAACATGATTTAGTCGCTTGTATTGTGCTTGAAAATCTTTCTCAGTCACGCGGCGATAGATGGTCGTATCGCTAAGGTGAAGTTCTGTGATTTTCCGGTCCAAGATTCGTGGAAGAATCACAAATTCTCCCCCTTTGTCGCTTACCGAGATACGTACAGCTTCACTAGAGACTAAATCACGTATTTCCTTGTAGCCAAGCCTTTGCGAATGAGTCAAGTTGATTGGTTGCGGGTGCTTAGCTTGATAAGTATAAGCATTCAGCATATTCGACCGAATATCCTGGTTCTTAAACAAGATTGTTAACCAGCTACTGGACAAAGTCCCGTCTCATTTGACCAATACGAATCATTTCTTGGAACGCCTCCATAACACCACTTTGCAAACGCAATGTGTGGCAGAGTCTTTTGACGTCGTGTCTTTGTACACGAATGTTCAAAACGACGATGCTCTGCAGGCAGTTTCGGAAATGTTGGACAACTTTGGTGAAAAGATCCAGACTTTCGGGCTGAGTAAAAGATCGGTTATGCTCCTGATCAAAGAATGTCTCTCTTCTAACATCTTTAGATGGTCAGGAACATACTATACACAGCTAAGAGGTCTTGCAATGGGACAAAGACTAGCTCCAGTTCTGGCGGTTTGCTTCATGAGTAGAATAGAAGAACCAGTGCTGTCACGAATGCCTCTTATGTACTGCCGTTACATTGATGACTGTTGCGTCATAACATCAACACAATCCGAAATGGATGAGTGTTTTCGATTACTTAATCAACAGTCACAGTACATAAAGTTCACGCGTCAGCAACCGAGAAGTGGTTGGCTCCCCTACTTAAACGTACAGATCAAACTGTTCAACGGCGCTGCGAGTGTAAAATGGTATCGTAAGGAGACTTCCAAGAACATCTTAATTAATGCTCGTTCTGCACATCCGATCGCTGTTAAAAGAGCTGTTATTCGTAACATGTTCAAAACAGCAACGAACGTATGCACAGGAGAAGAAGAACGGAAGGAATCTCAAAGATGGGCGCTGGACATTGCTCGAATGAATGGTTACGCGCACCAAAAAGGACGCAGTGGACCATCCATTTCTATTCAAAGCAACCAGCACCAACAGAAAATACCTCTTTGCCTTCCTTTCGTTTCTGACGCAACTAGTGCTGCAGTGCGACGATGCATTAACCGTGCAAACTTGAAAGACGATATCATTTTAGTTGATATTCCAAGTGACAACATCAGGAAGCGGCTAGTGCGTAACAGACTATATGACAACTACTGCAGAATCCAAGACTGTGTAGTTTGTCCATCCGGTAAAGTTGGCGATTGTGGTAAGACCGGTGTAATCTATGAGATTACATGCATCGAATGCAAAGCCACTTATATCGGAGAGACTGAAAGGCCTCTATGGGTAAGGATGAATAAACATCTTGCCAGCAAAAGACGGGGAAGTCTTACCACACCACTAGGTAAACACAGAGTTGAATTTCATCGTGGTAAGAACTTCGAAATCAAATGTACTATACTGGCATACGAGTACGATACTGCTAGCAGAAAAGCTCTCGAGGCATTCTGGATTTTCGCGAGAAACCCATGCATGAAGCCGAAATGAGTGTCCATCAATCACGAATGACTTTATGCCCTTTATGGCATTATGTGAGTTGAAGAGTCCCACTAGTAAATAATGTCAATATAGTTTACACTGTATTCATTATTACTACTAGTGGCACGAAGGACGGCCGCATCTAACATCTGGGGCGCTATGTATCAATCTCACGATCGTGAGATCGTGTGCTCGCTAGCGTTGAAAACATTGTCATGGTCAGGTGCGAGCACACGATCTCGCGATGTATCAAGCGCACGACCTCGGCACAAGATCGTGTAGCAGCGCACCATCTGTCGAGATCGTGTGCTCTCCGTGTGACGTGTGGGAAAAGCGCTGTGCGGGCACGTCCAATGTTTTTCTTACACGCCTATTCATCTACATGCCCTCTCTACTGCACGCAGTGGCCGATTTTTTTTTCGAAATTTTGTTTTTTTGTTTAGTTGTTTGTCTTGCCACGCCGATGTCTCTACCGCTTCATCATTATCATTAGTACACCGCTTCATTTACTTCATTTCCACCATTAGTGACTTTTAAGGAATTGTTGTGCTATTGTGCACTGTGCACTTTGCCGAAGTTTTCGTATGTTTGTGCTGTCAACGACGCTGTGCCCATGGAATTGCAACTACTTCTAGAACTTTTCCGCCCCGCTTCAAACCAAATGCCTTTTTCGAAGTGGAAGTTTAGGTCATGAGGTAACTTCTTTTTTTGCTGTTCTTTGTCGGCATGAAATCCTGACGCTTAGGTAGCACTCGAAAAAGCCAATTGTTTTCTGAAGGTTTGCATTGTTTCGCTTTTCTATTTCCATGCCATTACATGCTGTCACCTTATCTTGATAGAGGTCAGTATCTTCATTAGGTTTTGCGGAAAGCGTTTACTTCCTAACCATCACTTTTATAGATGTCGATATATCATTCCGCCGCAACATGCAACAAGATATTCGAAAAGATGTGCGTGAGACCGCCGGAGAAGACACAAGTACGTGAGTTTTGTGTTCTTGAACATTGCTATAACTGTAGTTAGTTTATGTGGAAATTTGAAAAGTTGAATTTTGTTACATATCAGCGGAATCTTCTATTTTTCTATTAGCTTCACTAGCAAATGCGGTTATGTCTTGACCTGCGTTTAACCAAGAACGGTTGCGCACGCAACCGTTCTTTGTTAAACGAGAATTGATTCGAAAGAATTGACTCGTGCTGTCTTTCTTGAAAGTATATTTTCTCGATTTTAAGTGAAAGCAACACGCTTCATAGCGTCCATGATCTATGGCCTTCTTTCGCCAATTTCTGAAACGTGCATTTTTTTGCATTCGTACTTAAAATTTGCTCAGTAGGTCGCCTTGGCTGTACAGTCGGGTAGATTTTCCGCTTAATATAGTGTGCTTGCACAGTTTATGAAATGCGGTGAAATTTGCGCGTGAACAGGTAGCTGCGCCAGCACTGCCGGCATTTTGCGCGCAATTGGCCGGCGTCACAGTCGAAGCTGATTTCTCACGCGCAAATTTTACCGCATTTTAACTTCTGTGCAAGCACACTATATTAAGCGGAAATCTACTCGACTGTAGTTATCTTGTATCAAGGCAACTTTCTCTGTTCTGTGTTAAATGTACCATAGTAAACTGCAACTCATTAGTTTTCATTTCAGGATGAGAAATTTCCATACATTTCGTCTTCTAAGGGGTTTCACTTTTCGAGGATTGCTTTCAACCAAATACCCACTGGAGAAACGGCAAATTTCGGCGGTGTTGGTTCGCAAATCAAGCCTTTCCATGATGGTGGTTTTAATGTCATGATTTCCGTTCCCGATTTTTCTGTTTTACTTTTGTGAGCAGCAAGTGACGTCATATGCGTTTGTACTTCTGTATGATACCATCGTATCGTATATCCGTCATATTTTTCACCTCTACCGGCTGATGAGTCGTCGACAGCACGGTTGGCCGTAGATTGCCGAGCGCGCGCTCAGACGCTTGTACTGCGTGAGTGTACAAGATGCTTTCGCGGTGACATGTCAGCCGCGCCGCGGGCAGTCTACGGCTATTCGTGCAGTCGACGACTCGACGGAGTCTATAAACCCACATTTGAGCTTCTTGTGCGTGTACAAATTTGTGTATATTTTTTTCGATGACATATTTGAATCACAATCCGACTGTCAGTCCGTTTTTGCATACTACTTACGTTGTGGTTCTGTTTCTGTTGACTCTTTCTCTTTCGTATGCCTTTTTGCAGCCGTGTTTACTCTAGTATGAATTCTCTAGCATGACCATGGATGGCTTCACGCGAATTAGTCGAACAGCCTTCCGAGGGTTTGCTTTTGCAAAAGTAACTGATGGTTAGGCACAATGAGGCAATCTTACTTATAAGTTTGGTATTCTTTGCCTTCACCTTCAAACATGGTAGATAAGGGATGGAAGTGTTTTTATTCATCATGTCCAATCTTGCTTACTTCGTAGAAAGCAGCATATGCTTAGTCATCGAACAACCTTTATACGCGGTTTTATAGCAAGTGAGTAAGAGAATCACTCTGTAATTGCGACCACTTTCTCCTACCACTCTTCCATTGATTTCTTTATGAATAGCATAGTTGATAGTCATGCACTTACATGTCTCTTGATCTTATAAATAGCTTTATGAGGCTAGTGTCAATAAATTAGAGCTGTTGTCTCATAGAAGCTAACGACTACGCTAAACAAGTACGTGACGTTGATTCGCAACCTTCCATGCCAAAAGGAAGGCAGATAGGAAGGAAGGCGCCAGTCTTTGCTTAGCTGCTTCATTCACTTCGCTATTGGTCAGCTGGTGATTTAACCAACAGCGAAGTGGATGAAGCGACTCAGTCTGGCTACATGTACCGATGTTGACATGCGGGAGTCATTTTCCAACTTAATATGTGAGCTCACACTGCGAGAGTCATTTGCAACTCAAGAGTGTGTTAGCGCACTACGCGCGCCAACTACGACACCTCACTAAAGGCCGTCAGTAAAACCTTAGCGGAACAAGGACTTGATAAAAAAGAAAATAGGTCGAAATTGATAGAAAATCGAATGCGAGTCAAAGTTTTGGGCAGCACAAGAAAAAAAAAGAAATTTGGAGCAAACAAAGTTGCTACGTAGAAAAAATCGAAGTAAGATAAGCGGATGTACTTGTAACTAAGGACCCCGTTATTCTTTTGAAAGCCTACAAATCTTTCATAAGACCTATGCTCGAGTATGGAACTGTTATATATAGCCCTTTTAAGCGTAAAACTGTTCATTACCTTGAAAAAGTACAGAACAGCTTTACTCGTAAGTTGTTGATTAGAACTGTTGGTTTCCTATACGATCAGATTCCTAACAGTGAAATACGTAACAGAAATCTTGGACTATCTACTCTAGAGAGTAGAAGACGAAAGTTTGATTTGATACTGGCTCACAAGATAATCTACGGCCAATGCGGCCTTAACAAAAGCGCCTACTTTGCTACCAAGCCTTCTACTACTAGGGGTGGTTCCAGAAAGCTTATCATTCCTAGATGTAGACTCGCCATACGAAGAAATTTCTATTCATGTCGTGTTCTACATGACGTGGATAACCTTATCAGAGATCGGGCATTTGTAGTAAAACTTTCTACCTTTAAATGTATTCTAGAACGCTATTTGCAAGCTTCTGTTGATCGGTGATGTTCGCTGTTGTTGCGTTATTTCAGTTGTTGTTATTTTGTTGTTTGTTCCTGTTCTCATAGGGACTTCCCTATGCACAATAAATAAATAAATAAATAAATAAAATGTTTGGTCTTGCTTCGCGCCAGTGCATGTTCTTAACGTGCGCCAGTCCGGGTTCCTGGCGCACACGGACACCGCAGATCGTGTAGTTACACGATCTTGCGCACACATTGATACATCGCGTGCGCCTCGGCAGATCGTGTGCTGGTGCAAGATCGTGTAATTGCCAGATCTTGAACCAGCACACGATCCTGAGATTGATACATAGCACCCCTGGGCGGCAGCGGCGGAGGAGGTTGGTTCGTCTTTCACGTGCTTGCGTATTTTTGCTTGTAACACTTTGGGGGGTAAAGTCGAGGCTGGTCGGATATGGAGGAGGTTTGTGGTGGGGTAGGACATAAAATTAAATCTCTTACCACTTTAGGCCTCTGAAGAAGACGGACACGTCGAAACGTCAGGCCGCCACTAACAATAAACATCTACTAACCTCGGTCGGCTTACTAACATACTAACACATATACTAACAATGCCGAGGTTTACGAAAGAGGAAACCTGGAAGCTACTACAGCTGATAGTTTTCTTAATGTAAGTGAAAACCAGTGTAAAATAGTCCCTCTCAGAAAGCCTAGTGGACGCTCTAAAAACCGAGGAACTAGCTTTGATTAAGTTCAATTCTCTAAGCTAGCGTTTGATACAAATCTATTAGGCTCATTCTTCATTTTATTTAAATTATTAAATTGTCCGGAAATTAATGCAGATTTTAAATTTTAACCGCAATAAGTCGTGCACTTCTCAGTTCCAAACAGGTTGCAAAGCACCGTTCGATAAAGCAACAACCTCTACAAGATGGCAGCCTTGCTTTAGCAACAGCTGTGATCCACCACAAGTTTCGAGCCAAAAACTAAAAAGATTCACTGTTCGAAAAATTAGAAAAAATTGTAACTCATGTCATAAAAACTCTACAAATCCACATAAGACATCTATGTACGTATTGCCGTATTTTTTCTTTGTTAGAAATCGAGAAAAATAATATTTTCATGCATTTGCCAAAGTAAGCTGCGCCGTCCCCACATCATTAGTTGTATACTACAAACCCGTAGAACTACAAACGTAGATTTTCAACTTTCTACAAGCTTTAGTTTTCGAGAAATATCGAATAGGGTTCCCTAATTAGATGGACCAACTAAAATTCAGATTTCTCGACAACTAAAGCTTGTAGAGCTGAAAATTTACGTTTATACTTCTACGGGTCTGTAGTATATAACTACTGATGTGGGGAGGCACAGCACCACTTCGGCAAGTGCATGAAAGTTTCATTTTTCTCGATTTCTAACAGGGAAAAAAATACGGCAGTGGCATATATAGATGTTTTATATGGATAGTGTTTACGTGAGCAAGTTGGAATTTTTGTAGGTTTTTATGAACTAGGTTGCAATTTTTCTCAATTTTTCGGGTAGTTGAATCTTTTTAGTTTTTGGCTCGAAACTTGTGGTGAATCACAGCTGCTGCTAAAGCAAGATTGCCATCTTGTAAAGCTTCCTTTGCTCTATCGAACGGTGCTCTGCAAATTTTTCAAAGCTAGAAGTGCACGACTTATTGCGGTTGAAATCAAAACCTGGATTAATTTCCGGACAACCTAATATCTACTTAGAAACATGAATAAGATACAACATAGATTGTTTTCAAGTAGAACCCAGAACGGGGTTGCCGTATTTGATCTTAACTTCGACGCGCGCTCTATTTGCGATGGACGTAAGGATTAGGTTTAGTGTGTGGTTTACGGCCTGAATTTTTCTGAAGTCTGGGTTTTACGACGAAACAGGAGGGAAGTTTATCGCAATCTCGAATACTGCTGTTTCATCAAAATTTGGCGATACTCAGGTGATACATCCCATGTACTCCATGTTTTTTTTGTTTCAGCAAGTATATGTCAAATATATCTTTATAAACTTACGGTTGATCGGTGATGCAATACACAGTATGTAATTTCATATGGCCAGCATAGTGACACCTTTCCGAAGCACAGCCTATTTTTGTAGCAGTGGAACGCATTAACTATAACAGCTGTAGTTAAAAGCTGAAGCATCTTTGGTTGTTACAGTACATTGGCATAATCCTTAAGAGTACTATCTGATTGTGAGTAGACCACTCCATCGTTGATCACAGAGAAGTACTGATGATCGATTAATGTAGCATGTTCGCGGATAGCGTCCGAGAATAAAACTTCGTTGTCGCGTTCGTCAAAGCTAAAAATGAGAGTAAACAAATGTTGCCAAAATCAAATATGAATACCATAACGGAAAATCTGTGCAGCTAGTTCCAATAGTTATGCTAAACACGACTTTAAAGGCTGTGTCCATGCAAATCTGAGCGCAAGGGCTTTTTACCAGGAAGTGACGAGGGAGTCCTAGCTATGGCACTGCCCAAATGGAAGCATAAATCATATTCACGGCTGAGAAATCCATGCCTTAACAGTTCGCGCCGCGCTGTAACCGTGATTCGCAAATTAGGGTGGGTCCCAGAACGTATGTAAAGTTAAAGTGAGCGAAATCATATCCTGGTTACGGTCACGGCGCAGGCGCGGAGGGTTTGGAGACGGGACCCTGCCGTGAATGATTCATCTGCGCTGAAGTTTGGGCATTGTCTTAACTGTGGCCTCCTCATTACTTTTCAGACGAAAAATCCATGCGCCCAAATTTGCCTGGACACTGCACTTGAGAGGATCTGTGATAGCGACGCATTATAAAAAGTCTCAGAGCAACAATTCAACCAAAATCTGCAGCAAATAACATAACAAATGTTGACGGCATACCTTGCAAAAGCATAAGCATAACCAATGTTGGGTGCATCTCTTGTACAGTTCGCAATAGCGGCTTTAGCTATTTTCTCCAAGTCGCAGCTCCAGTCCTGTATTGTGGAAAAAGCACTATCACTTTTAGGAATAGTACTCTCATAGTCGAAGCGACTCAGGAAAGGCTTATTAATCACTCTTCCTAGAAGCAACGACAAGACTTGGCAGTCGAAATTGGTGGTATTTCTGACAATCCTCATAAAAAAAAGTTCATTAGCAAATTTCTAATCGGTGTATATTTTTCTTGAAAGGTCTGGATCAACTTTTAAGGTTGTATGCGCTATTCTCAATATTCTCGCACGTCTGATTCCGTCTGAATATTTCATATTTGACGCAAAGGTTACAATAAAAATTCAAGTAGCATACCGATTTGAACAAGCAATATCAAAAACGCGCCACGCAATATGCACAGCTACACATCTACAAGCGCTATTTGTGATTGTTGTTTCTGCCCGAGAGGAGAATCCGTACATGGGATTTGCAAAAGAGGTGCAGCAGGGCTCCGCAGAGATGGCGATTTTACATGCAAAATGTCGTTTTGAAGCGAAAGGGAACCCGTAAGTCCACCCGGAATCCATCAGGTGTTGTTATCCACTATGCTGCGTTTTCCAAATCTATAGTCATGCCCTCCTTTAAAGCGTCCTCACTCTGGCGCACGTGAGAAGGCATACTCGAACGATCGAATTCGGCAAGTGATCGAATATATTACAGTGCTTTCCATGTACCCATTTCTGTCATCTCAAAATCAAAGTTCTGTTCAATATTGTCTATA